CTTGTTCTTTTTGTTATTAAATCCTGACACTTTTTTTGGTTAAAAATTCTGCTCTCAACTTTTTATCCTGCACTACAACGAGCCAAATGCAACAAAATTTCGTTCTTATCTGCACTGTAAAGTATAAGTTTGAATGACAATAAAGAAAGTCTAAGTCTAAGTTAATTCCAGGTTCATTATTAATTGTTGTTCCCTGCATCCCCTAGCAATCTGGAGAACGTAACACCAGGATTTCTGATTTTCTGAACACCAAGAAGATAGAAAAATATTCCTCCACATTGTTTTGCATTAAAGCCCCTATAATGAATGACTTAATTAATGCAGTTACCCTAACATATAGTGAAGTATGAAGAAAGATCAAATGTAAATGCTCAGCAGGTGTCTTTATTTATGCACCTTGGCTCAGTTCGTTCCTTTCCACCGCTGACAGCAGGCTGCTTGAAATAGTTATCTACATCTTGATTTGTTAGCTGTCTCAGGGTGGAGCTGTAAGAACATTTATTCACACATTATTTGAGTTATTTTCCCCCAACTCTAAAGGCTGATTCTACGCTTAGGAGAGTATAAATCCTCTCTGTGGGAGCTTTATTTAATTCCATCACTGTCATGGTAAGCTGATGTCTCATTAGCAGCTCTCTCACTGAACATCATCATCATCATCATCCAGCCCTGGCTCCAGTCCAGCTGCTGCAGCTTCACCACACTGTTAGCACCTCTTCACCTGAACACTCACCTGGCTCAAAAGGATCAGGGAAACACTCATTGTCATTCAGGTCAACAATCCTCCGCCCGCTCATAGACGACCGTGTAGTCATGACGATGTCTGTAAGTACAGCAGACTGCTGCATGAATAGATGTATTTTCCAGTTCACCTTTAAATGAACAAAGTGTTGTTCACAGTTGTGGTTACTGGACCAAATCTGGAAGCTGGTCTGGTAGCTAGAGAGGTACCCGAGCACTGCCGAGGTGTCCTTGAGCAAGGCACCGAACCCCCAACTGCTCTGGTGCGCTCTCTGCTTAGCAGCTTGTAGCAGCCCCACTCTGACTCTGACATCTCTCCACTGATGAATGTCCACAGGTCCTGTTGTGTGTGAGAAGCATGTCCCTATAAATAACAGAGTGTAAACCGAATTTCCCTCAGGGGATAATAAATAATAATAAAGGATATCAAAAAATAAATAAATACATTTTCAATCTGCATTCATTATTTTAGTAATTTCCACATATTTGAATATTTTCTGTTGTATATTGTAAAATAAATAATAAAAGGGGCTTTATTAGCATGGGAAACATCGGTTTACAATACGTTTAGGAATGTGTCTAAACTTAAAAACTGTGTGTGTTAAAAACTCAAGTTAAAAATCTACCTTTTCTCTTAAAAGATATATATATATACATCTTTTGAATCAGGTCTGTGGTATCTGAACACAAAGTCAGGTCTGACTGTCACAGTATCTGCCTGTCTGATAACCTGCAGAAATTCTATTCATTCACTCCGCCAGCGGGGACTTCCTCTCTGATTCTGACTTGCAAATCATGAGAGAACAAGGAGCATTTATGACAGAGTGACTCAATCAGTTAGCCACTTAGCCGGAGCCACTAAATGAGTCTAACGTGAGGGAATATACACCTCAGGCAGACTTCAGGGCGCCGTCCCTCAGCGTCTCTCAGGTAGGTGTGAAGAGTTCAATCTGGAGACAATAGAGCTCAATGGATCTCAATGATCCAGCAGTTGATGCTCCGCTTTGATGTTCCTTTTGAAGATGCAAATCTACAACAGAGAAGAGAGCGAGCACAGCTGGGGGCGCTGCCACCGGACGCCAAATGAAAATATTTTCCCGCAGCAGACAGAGACCAGAAGCATCCTTCCAGCCTCTGGCGGCCCGGGCATGCAGGGCCTGCCGTACCCCGGACTGATCATGCGCTGTTTTTTGGGCGTAAAAACGGATTTGTGTCTGGTATTCTGTGGCCACCGATGAGTCTCATCAGAGGAAAATATGGGAAAAGAGCCAGATAGAGAGAGTATAACATAAAACATGCTCACGTTATGATGAAACAGGAACAATAGAATGCAACATTTGTTCCTTTTGTTACAGTTACAGTTAACGTCAGTGCAGCAACATATGGCAACAACCTGGATGTCCCAGAGATGGTGTGTTAAGAGTCAATAGAGACACTTTTAATGATGTTTGAGATCCAATCTTGGTATTTTCTAATTCTGCAAGTTATTATGTCATCATCAGAACTATGAAATGCCTTTTAGGAAACATGTATACTTTATAAATAATGTCTGAAAATCTTAAAATATAAAGTTTGCTGCAAATATTACTCAAAGTAAAAGGGCGGGACATAATCAAAGGGTGTTTGATTGACAGATAAAGACATAGAGATGACAGAAGTAGTCTGTTATTCAGTTTTATTTTTATTTTTTACTTAAAACAGCAAATTACAATCATATACATAGGCTACATATAATACCTTACACTGTAGTGCTTCCCAAATACAATAAACATAAAGAACTTTTAATCCCCTCTTTTAGAGAGAACAATGTATATCTAGATTCTAGACAATATGTATATATATTTTTTTTTTTGGATGGTGACAGTTTAGTAGTAGAGTGGGGGATGATGAGATGGGGGGAGCGGTGCTGGTGCAGCGCAGCCGGCAGTATCGCCCTGTGGAGCGGCCGGAGCTGCGCGTAGAGGCCGCTGCCGGCGGGGAGCTGTCCACGGAGCGCGGGGTGCTGAAACAGCAGAGGAGGCAGCAGAGCCGCCGGGACCGGGAGGAACTCTGAGCGCAGATCTTGGACCTCCCGTTTTAGCTTCATCCTCCGGTTTTGGAACCATGTTTTCACCTGAGGGGAAACAACACAGTCATTAACTAGGGCCCTTAATACTCAGTTAGGGTATATGTATTACTTATAGAAAACTATCCGCGGATATTAAGTAAAACTCACCTGTGTTTCTGACAGGTTCAGCCTCTCTGCTATAGTCCTCCTCTGTACAGCTCCCAGGTATTTGTTCTTGCTGAAGCTTTTCTCCAACTTGCCGATCTGCTGGGAGGAGAACTTAGTCCGCATCCTTCTCTGCGCGGCGGCCTCCCCTTCGCTGTCCTCTCCCACCTCGCTCTCAGAGCCTGAAGTGTAACCGCAGCTATCTGAGAAAAAAACAAAACAGAGCATTTAATGAATTTAGTCTCAACCAATAACATGTCCACCTCATGTATTTGAAATAAACAGCTGATTCGTGAACTTACTGTTTAGCGAGGTTGGAGACGATTCCTTCTTAAATTCCTCAATATCTCTCCGGACTTTTGAATGAGGCAAAGCATCCTGGGCCCCCTCTTCGTGGAAGCTTCTTGAGAGCCATTCTACAGAGAAGTTTGCCATGTTGTCTCCAAACAGAGGTCTCCGAGGTTTGTGCTGGGTGACTCTTGGTGGATATATAGGAGGGACACACTTCTTTATTTGCATATGCAAAGAGATGTCAGCGGAACGATAGAAACTTGATGGCGGTTGTAATTGGGGTTAATAGAGGCTGGGCTGTGCGTTTTCTCACGTCCATGGCTGAGATGCTCCGGCGCCAGTAAGTCTGAGTATCAGTTACCTGACAGGTCGGGCTAAATGAGCTCTGCATAAAGTGATTCAGAGTGATATCCGCTGCTGAATGCATGAAATGGTGGCCAATTATAGAACTATTTACTGTAGCTATGCAGGGCCTTTGGCCAAATAAATGACCCAAGGTGTGACATATCCACAACTTGATTTTCTAGGAAGCCAAAAACTGCTTTATTCAAAAATTGCCCAGTCATTAAAATGTCTCCATGCAGACTGTCAGATCCCTGATTGGGTTTTGCAGCTGCAGACAGACGCGCCCATCTGTCTGAGCATCAGGCTGCGCGTTGATGAGGCCTTTGTTATGGTGGGGGGATTCAGGTGGGTGTGACCCCATCCAGAAAGTTGAGAAAGTTTCGTTTGATCTGTGTTGACCGATTTGAATGAGACATTTGTTGAAGGGTAAACAACAAATAAAACAGGCACAACCTAAAGCGAAAATAAAAAATAAAATATGTCAAAGCTTTTGACTTTGATGCATTTTGACATTGTCGGAAAATAAAGTACAAAATCAGGACATTATGCCCTTAAATTACCTTTACAGTGGATAAGAGTCAGGTCTACAATCTTCCTAATCTCATCACATGAAACAGGTTTTCTGCAGCAGGTCTCAGAGCTCACGTTTGGTTCCCCACACAAAGCTCCAGACTCTCTGGAGCCGCGCCGGAGGGCTCCTGCTGGAAGTGTAAACTCATCAATGGGCGGATTAATGAGGACTAATTGTTGACCGTGATGTGCCCGTTAGCTGACGTTTGAAGTGGAAATGAATCAGCATATGAAAGCAGAGAATTGGGTGAGTACAGTCTGGGCTGCTGACAGGTGAGGGACAAACCACAACGTCTGTATCAGGACTTTTAAGCTCTTCTGGGTTCTTTAGGGTTTTCAGAACGAAAGCACAACCCTCCCTGATTACATTTAGTGTTATTTGCTTGGATGGAAAGGTTTGATCAGCCTTCGGCCTGATCTCAGTTTGATATATTAAGAGGATCAAAGCAGGAGATCCACACAATGAGCTGAGATATGATCCTTTACCCTTAATGGAAAACTCCTATCTTTATCACTCCTTCTTTCAACCTCCTCCGCCTTAAGATGAAAGCCAGGATGATGTATTCATGTTGAACTAATCCTGCAATAAAGATAATATCATCACCTTTATCTCTTGAGTTGTTCACTGTTTACACACAGAGACCAGTCTGCATCTAAAGGCCAGTTATCTAAAGTTATCTAAAAGTGTCAGTTATGCAAGAGGAAATAAAACGCACGCACAGTCAGGAGCTTCAGTATAGACCATAAACTTTATTCAAAGATAAATAGATTTTTATGTAAAGTATTTACAACTTTTATATCAAATACAATTAAAATATTACACATCAAATAAACTCTGGATTGCACTTTTTGGATTCTAAGTGTTTCAAGTAGAAAGAAGTCTCTAGTTTTTTCAAGTCTTTCAGTAGAAATGTTGGCTGTGGATGACGCCATGAGGAAAATGGTGAGGGGACATCTGAGGCTGGAGGACCAGCTGCGGGACGGGGAGAGGGTAGAAGGCCGGGCCGGTCGCGTGGTAGTGGGGTCGCTGAGCGGCTATGTTGTGGTACTGACCCGGGGCCAGAGGCCGGAACATAACTGGGGGGACTTGGGGGGCTAGGTAGTCCTGAACCTCACGTTTCAGCTTCATCCTTCTGTTCTGGAACCAAGTCCTCACCTGAGAGAGAAAACAGAGATATAGAAGTAAGTACATGCGCAATGAAGGATTCACTGCAGGATTCTAGGTCATTTAAAGTGTGTGGGGTTTTTTATGGCAGCTGAAATCTTTTCTTACCTGTGTCTCTGTGAGGTTCAGTTTCAGCGCTATCTTCACTCTCTCTCCTGCGTCAAGGTATTTGTGCTTGTTGAAGATCTTCTCCAGTTTACCGATCTGCTCGTTGGTGAACTTTGTGCGCACTCGGCGCTGGGGTCCGTCTCTGTCCGCCTCGCACCCCTCATCAACGGAGAGATACTCAGAGGAGGCGGCCTCGCTCTCGTACCCGGAGGAATACCCGCTCGTTTCTGAAACTGGAGGAAGAGAAAGAGAGCTTTGGTTACGAATACTGTTTGTACAAAAACACAGATTTGTTATTTAACAGACTTTGAATTGAATTTATTAGAACTGATTGTCGACTTACTCGGTGAGGAGCAGTTTCGTGGATGTAGAGGTGAGCTCATCAGGCTAGAATCCTGCTGTCTGCTGCTCTGCATGACAACAGGCTTTAAGGCTTTAGGTTTGGGCTGCAGGTGACTCTTGCCAAGGGTCGGCGGTCGTGGCTGCACCATGCAGGGGATGTGAGGTCTGCAGGTCGGCGAAGGTTCCGTGCCAGCTCCGTGCTCCTCGCTCGGCGCGGTGTTGTGATGGCTCTGGGCCAGCCAGTCCACAGAAAAGTACATGACCATGTTGGCAGTGCTGCTCAGTGAACTGTAAATCCACGAGGTGTCAGAGGGAGAATGTGTGTCCTCCTTGCTGCAGGGTCGGGGCTTATAAGGCCCCGTCCCTGGAGGTGTTTTGCATATGTAGAGGTTCTTGTTAACGCCTCATCGATCCCGATGATTAGGGCTTAATGGCTCGTTATTGAAGTCTTTACATATCCTGTGAGTGTGTGAAAACCTGGCGCCGCCGAGTCTGTGAGAAACCTCCTGAGCTCATACATTTGTCCGCCCCGACAGAAACTGTGGGCCAGCAGACACAGCTGCAGCTCCTGCAGACTTTCATGTCACTGCTGCTGCATACAGTAGCTCAGAGGAAAGGCGATAACAGATCTTATTAGTCCTGTCTCAGGTTTTCTATTTTAAACAATGCATCTTAATTTGGTCATGTCTGACCTGATGCATTTATGTCTCCAAGTTAGTCTGGCTGGGAACAAACTCATCTGGGGACCACATAGGGAATTTATTGTCAAATATTTCATTAGGTGGAGAGAACAGGCACAAAATAAAGACGAGGTGGGGAAACTCAAACTTTTTTTTTTTTTATTTAACTTACTTTCCCCTGCAAAATTTAATTCTACTTCAGGACACAATGATATATTCCAAAACAGCAGGTTTTCAGCAGCAGTTCAAGTAAAAATACAATCTTCTAGCTTTAGAGTCAAAGTAGACTACAATGTAATTGTATTGTGTATTTATTCCAAGTTATACTTCACTACAGAGGGGTATCTTTTACAGAATCTATTAGATAACAAATAAAAAACATGCTGCAAGGACTTTATTGCACTTTTACAGTTGCAGCTGCAAATCCCACTGATGTGAATTCCTCTTCCTCCACTGGAGAAACCCTTATAATCTTTTCATCACCTACTTTCAAACATGATGTCTGTGAGCTACACTGAAGTACACTTTAGTACCTATGACCTATTCCTGTAGAATAGTGGATATTTTCTAGTTCAGTGCTGACTCATCAATAACAAGCCAAGGAAATGCGAAAGTTGTTTAAATATTTCTGGAAGTATTTATTTATATATTCACACGCTTTATAGTTTCCAATCACAAATGAGTCGATTGGCTTCTGATTCAGTTAGATCCTAATTAAAGGCTGGACTAGACTTTCTGTCAGTCAAAATTGAAAGAAACAGTAGTTCTCTATTGAAGGTGACCACGTAGAAAAAGTGAAAGAAATGACTGTAAGCTTAAGAAACTGGACTTTAAATCTATTTATGAAGCCTAGATGTCCCTGTTTGCAGCACCGCAGGAATACTGGTTGTTCTAAATTACATGTCGTTTTTATCATCATTAAATGATGACTTTGTTTTAAAAATAGATTTGAAATGTATTTATTTTCCCTTAGATGTTGTAACTTTTGATTTTTAACATAAAAATATTTTTTAATTAAATCCAATGTTTTCATAAAAAAAAACCTTGATATAACTTGTACAACTTTTCTTCCCATTCTGTAAATGCAGACTTTATTCTCAGACTTGTAAGAATCTTTTTTTCTTATTATATTTAATTAGCTTGTAGTTTTGTAGCTGTTAATGAATTAAAAGTTAAGATTTCCCTCCTTAAAACTTGAACTTTCAGCTAAGAAAATGAGAAAATCTCTGACCTTAATCTTTTTTTTTTTTAATCTCAGGTCCCCCCCAGGGGAAAACTTTAAGCTTTATGACTTTATACTCTGATGACGTATTTCATCTGTGTAACAACGAGTTCAATAGCTGAATTCAATCCCATCTACCCCTCTGCAGACTTGTGTCCTCAAACCCACGAACCCCTTCACTTTTTGAGTGAAACGTAGAATGTGATCAGACCTGGATGGCTTGGTGTTGAAACGTGTTTGACCCCCTGGTGGGCGCTGGCGCCAGCGTTTGGCGCAGGCGCTTCAAACATCCCAGATCAAAGGTTTTACAGTAGCAACACAATTTGGGCTGATTGTTGCGCGTTCACATGTTAATATGTTAAAACAAGCTGTGAGGAAGCCAAACAGGCCGCCCATAGAAACATAAGCTAATCCTTCAATGGGCCTCTTCACATACCAAAGGCTCCAATATCAGCCCATACATCTCCAATTAGGTCAGGATCAATTACTGGTCAAATCACTGCAACCGCACTGAGCAATATTATAACAACTATTTACAAGGTTTGGGATTTAATGAGACCCTTTTCTTCTGGAACAAGCCGACTGACAGCGTCACATCAGGTCATTTCGGCCACACAAACTGAGACCTTTCTCCTCGCGAGCCGTGGGATCTCCGCGTGCAGCAGCTCAGGGACAAAAGGCGCTAAACTGATCGTTTAGTTATATGACAGAGCAGATAAGAGACTGAGCCTGCTTGTCTCGTTTATCGGTGATCTGTGGAGGCTGGAGTCCCTTCAGTCTGCTGGGGCTCTTTATCTGAGCACCTTTGAAGATGCTCCCTGATCCCGTTAGAAAACAATGAAGAGCGCGCGGGACGTCGACGTCACACTGCGCCGATTTCCTCACCTCACCTCAGCCTGAATGTATGGGCTCTGTCTGTGTGTGTGTGTGTGTGTGTGTGTGTGTGTGTGTGTGTGTTTGTCTGTCAGCCTCGCAGGAAGAACCGTGAGAAGTGACTGTATTATAATTTGTAGTGAAACATGGTGGCTTGGAAATATAAGACTTCCTTTTTTAAAATACTGTTTAGAATTTGTTTAGTAATCCTGTTGTTACTTTTATAAACAACAAAGCAAATAAAATCAAGAATTTTTAAGTGTGGATGGTCTTCCTTTATGTCTTAGGTAAGTCATAAAACATACTTACACCTACCTCTTTTAAAGGCTACCCCCAGGGCCGTTAGTGGAGCAAAGTCAGTCTTGAAGAAAAGACAGTCATAAGAGTAAAGATTCAACCTTCATTACAATTTCTTTGGTAGATATAAGTTTAAGTCCTGCATCCATTTATCAGCATATTGTACCTATAGTATGCAGAATAACACCGAAGGTGGCTAGAGTGGTATTTACAGAAAGGTTTGTTAATGTGTAATAAGAAGGAAAGAAGAAAGAACGAAGTATGGGATCATAATTACCGATGTATGAATGTGCAGCATGTTGATGTTACATTAGGTTACAGGTTCAGTCACTTTTGTACAGCTGGATGTGGAAGTTTGTAACACTGGATTTTATCAATCTTAAAAGCTGAGTGACAGAAATACTGAGACATACACTTCAATTAGTTCATATTTGTACTAAAGTAGAACATGAGTTAAATCGTCAGATTTCACAACTAAAATCCAAATGTATCACAAAACAAAGCTGAGCGGCTGATTCACAAACTCCACAATCACACACCACTGATGTGCTTTGTGACAGTATCCGGAGTCAAAGATGATGTCAACGTAACACAGAGATGATGCAAACATCTTAAATTGATGAAATGTCTCTTTTTTGCTGTCTTCAAAATATGATATAGTTGTTACATCAAAGTCAATCCTCCAGCGATAATTATCAAAATGCCAGAAAGCTGCATTTAAAGTCATTTTGCAGTCATGGAGGAAAGGGGGAGTTTCAGCTCCTCCGTCCACACAGCATTGCACATCACCCAACAGACTCTTGAGCTGTCATACAGCCCCTCCATCACAGATATGTTCTGACAAGAATACAATCGGGCGAGGCAGGGCTTCTATAAAACCTCTTTTATTTGTCTAAATTAAGCAAATCTTCTAACATTTCACATTCAAAATCCACACTGTGTTTCAATGAGAGCATGAAAGACAGAGCATCGCGGGCGGGAACATAGACACTGATCATTCCTCACAAAATATTTTTCACTCTGACCTCTCAGTATGCTCCATCGGCTTCTCTGTTCCTGTCATCTATTGTCATCACGTGAAGATTACATGGCACGCTTGTGATAGCAAGTTTAGTTATTTCACTGTGTAATGTAGGGAACATTTAAATGAGTTTATCTATCCGATCGTATCAAGCTCATTTAAAGAGGACATATTATCCTTTTCAAACAGTCCCCTGTGGTCTAAATGAAACATATAACATGAATCAAGCACCAGAGGAGGTTTGTGACCCTGTATAAACCAGCTCTCTCAGAACGCTCCGTTTTGGTGTGTGTGTCTCTTTAAATACAATGACCCCCCCCCCCCCCCGAGTTCTCCCCGTAGATATCACTACTTCGCTAGCGAGAATAAAAATGGCGGACCTGCGTAAAAGTTTTGTTCTAGGCTGGGGGTGGAGTCCATGGTTGGAGATATCAGGGGAGGGGAGGGGATTATTTTACCAGAATCCCACTGTGACATCACAATGAGAGCAAATATGAAACAGAACATTTGTCTATGTGTTGTAAGACTTATGCTGACCACAAAGAAAGGACTGGATGGGTTTATTTCACATTTTGTGGGTCAGAAGACACTCAGGTTACCCAAATATATGTTCAACAACACTGTCAAAGTGGATTTTTCATAATATGTCCCCTTTAAATACCAAAAATGTGTTTTATTGTAGGTTAATAAAAGTACAACATAAACAAAGGTTCTGTGAATTTAATACACTTTGTGTTTTTCTCTGTCTTAAAATATATCTATATGTTTGGTTAGATGAACCTGTTGCTGCGTTAGCCTCCATTCTGTCTTTCTTTAAGAAGTGAACACTGTTGATTAGTCGATATTACACCAGATTGACTGTTTGAGTGTAAAACTAAATATAATCCCATTTAGTAACATGACATTGAAGGTCTTATGTGATCTTAAAGATGGAAGTCAATTACACATGAAATATCTCAGAGAGTGTTATTCCTATCTTACCTGTTAGCCAGATCATAGTTACTGAGCATGATGGGGTGGGATACAGAAATTAAAAAATCAGATGCTAATTATGCAAACATCATTCTGCTGCAGCCACAGTGGTATTTTATGAGGCTGTATACTGATGTCTGTTCAGGTAGAGGTTCAAATCAGCATGCTCTGTAGCATGCACTCAATAATGATGCAGACATGCTGAGGTTCAGTACAGTGTGTTTAGTATTTAAAGTTTCACTGAATCTCAAACTGGTCTCAACTGATCTCCAGATGCAGAGCTCTAAACTCTTGGAGCATCTCATGGGAACTCTAAGGTGCACTTAAATTTATCATCATTTAAAAAAAGCCTGGAATATAACCTGTGGAACATAACACTGGATCCTTACAGAGATCCTTTTGAACTCAAACTTAAAACAGTTTGAAACGGGCTCACTTGTGGAGTCATTACGGAGCTCCTAAGGGGACATGGGCAGAAAAAAAGAAGAAAAAGAAAATGAAGGAGTGCACCACAAGCAATCCTGTGTGAGCTTGAGAAAAGTTTCTTGTGTGCAAGAGAAAGTTTTATGTGCACATGCAACACTTTCTCATGAGCTCCAGAGACTCCAGAGAGCATGAGGATGAAAAAGTTGACCAGTAATTGAATTAATATTGATGAAAAAGTAAAAAATGTGCAAAATACTGATTTATCTTTGCTTATGAAACTACAGAAAACATTCAGATTTAACTCTAACAATCAATCCTGTTGGTTCGCTCATTTGCTGGGCTCTTTGTGGCTGTGCTGCTACACATTGAGTCAACGTCTGTCGTATGAAATGTGCTCTATAAATAAACTTGACTTGACTTCTCAGGAGCACGGGAAACTGATTATTTAAAAACATTTCTGCCTATGTCCTCTCAAGTACTCTGTACATCATGAATCTTTTGGTGTTTTTATTTCCACCTGTACTTCCTTCTTGACCTCTGGGCTGCTTTCTGAGTGTCATGTATTCAAAGAAGGCCTTCTGCAAATGAACCTATGCTGTGAGGATGTGTTGCATCATTTAACATGCTTCATGTGTGTCCAGTTAGTTAAAGACGTTTTAGACAATCTTTCCATGTTCACTCACAATCTCAGTTTATCATCTAAGCATGCTAACATTTGCTATTCAGCACTAATCACATAGCAAAGCTGAGGCTGATGGGAATGTCATCAGTTTCTCGCACATTGTGTCATAATTAAATGTTTTAGAAAAGTTCAAATTTGGAGCTAATAAAAGCAGCAAAATGAATGTGAGGAGTTTTAAAATGAGTAGAGTAAAGCAGGAGGAAAAGCCGAGCATCAACGTTCTAAGAATTCATACTGCAGGGACCGTAAACAACTTTTTTTAATCAATAAATGTGATCATTGTTGAGATAATTCAGCCAGGATCAAATTCAAGGACCCACAGTCTGGCATTAGAAAGCAAAGCTCTACAGGAGGGTGGCCATCTTGTTTTGTGCTTTAGTGGTTGAAATACCCAATCACAAGTGATTACATTCTCACACCGCTCCACAGTGACTCAGCGGGGTTCGTCCACCGCTGGGTATCCGTGTTGGTAATCCAGCCTTGATGTTGGACGTGCATTGTGTTTCTTACTAAAGGCTTAAACAGCTACATTTCAAATCACTCACAAATACTGATAAAAAAAAAGTCAGTGCATGAAACATCGTTATTTCCTGTGATTGTGGAAGAAAACTGTTATCAAAAGCCAACAGATCTGTTGGGGAACCTGTTGGTGTAATCTTACAGAGTGGGAGTTGTGAAGAAAGTTTGCCGGGGGGGGGGGGGGGGGTCTGAACTTATAATGAAATGATGTATGAAGGGGTCTTTGGCAAAAAGAGAATCTTTGAAAGCTGAAAAAGTTGGTTGCCAGGCAACAGAAGCGTCTGAGTAATATCAGTCTGGGCTTGGTCATGGGGGGCGTTGACCCGGTGTTGGTGTCTGGCACTGGGCTGCGAGGTTTGACCGGGTCATTGGAAAGTGGCCTTAACCCTCCTCAGTGTGTCCTGGATCCTCCGTGTTTGTCGCTCACTGCTCTGCTGGAAGTTGGCATCGTTGTCTGCGGCCAAAAGGTGGATGTTGGAGGTGGCGAGCCGGGTGATGCGGCTGCGGAGGTAAACCTGCAGTTCCCGGTCCGGGTTGTAGGGGCACACACCCTCCTGGAAGGCATGGACCTGACTCACAACCTTTGCTATGCTCCTTTAGCCCAAGATGGATAACAGAGAAGATGGAGGACATGTAAAGGAAACAAGAGAACAAAAAGAAGAGTGAAAATATAGCTTTTTCCTCATGCATATCAGGCCTGAGCGTTCCTCCTAGCAGCCTCACCAGCTTTGACCTGATTTGGAGAGAGCGGGGGTAACCCCAGGTCCACAGTAACCAGCTGTGTTTCTGCCTCCCTCTGCTACATCTCCTGACCCCAGCATCTGGCCGCAGCCCGGCTCCTCTCAGCATCTGGCCCAAAACCTCTTTTCCAATCAAACCCCATCCCACGGGCGCCATCTGGTGCAACACTGGCACCCCTACCAACAGCCCAAATCCAACAGCTGTGCCATTACCGTCCCTCCACCTCTCTCTGTGACCTCAGCATCTGGTCAGCCATATTGGAGAGGAGGAAAAGGACACAGGAAAAAAGCGTCCTCGAGGAGAGTTGGCCGACTTTGTCATAAATGGATATTTGGGATGTGGGCAGAGAGCTAATTATTAGTAAATGACTGTGTTATTATATTGTGAGAGCTATCAGGCTAATTTAACATCCTGTATGCACATTTCCCCAATATCACCTGAAAAAGGATAAGTGCAAATTAAAGCATGCAGAGAAATCATGGCTGTGTTTGAAAATGAAGGGAGGGGTTTAATTAAGGTCCTCAGAAATAAAGGCATTACTCTGCAGATTATTTTGTCTTTAAATATTTCTTTTTACATCAGATACAGACCAGCATAGTGTGTTACAATGCTCCAAAATCTGACAAAGATTTGACAAGTTTCACAACACAACATGCAGCAGATTGGACTGTCACATCTCAAGGATACAATGACAAACTTCACCTTAGAGACGTGATTTGTGTTTTTCTGTATGAAAATATGACACATCATAAAGCTGTGAGTCTCTACAATATCTCCCAGATGACACAGTAGAGACTCATTTAACAAGTTAATGTAGTTACACTGTTTCTCTGTATTTTTATGCACTTCCATAATTTTACCCTGGAGGAGACATTTTTCCAGCCGAACTTTTTCCACACCTGATAAGTGAAAGATTTTCACTTAAGTCGACATGAAGTTTAATGAAGCAGATATTAACAATTCAATTAAAGAACAATCACTGGCATTGAAGTGATTGTTCTTTAACCAGGAAGTGACAGGTGTTTTCACACTCCTGAACATTTCCAGATTTTCTCAAACTGAGCTGTACACTCATTTTTCAGCTCGTCTTTGTTAAGCCTCCTAGTAAAATGTCCATGTAGAGTCAGATTTGTGAACAGAGCGGGAAATATTCAAGAAAATGTACTGTGAGAGGGCGACCGGTGCATGACCTTTTCTGCTCAGCAGTATGTTTGGATTCTGTAAATATGCTAATTTCACGTAGCATTGATTTGAAGGTAAAAAAAACTGTCATTGTAGTTCCAGACTTTGTCACTTGTTGTATTTGTGGTCCACAGCATCTTTTTTTTCTTTACATCATGTCTTACTCCCCCATCCCACAGGAAAACCTTCACACTGTGAGGAACATGTGTGAACGAGGAACATGTGTGAACGAGGAACTCGGGAACATATCAGGGGCAGACACTCCTGACATTTTCGAGACATTTTTACGAGACGCGTGAAAAGGGTAGAAGGGAAAGTTTTTCACTTCAGCCGCCCCGCTAATGGAGGTCAGTGCTCTCAGAGAACAACCTTAGATGTTCAAATTATAATTCAATGGACTCCTTCTCTCCAAAGAGAGTCCAAATCCAAAGGAAGTACTGGAGCACACAAATCACCTCTGCATCGCAGTGCGTTGAAACATTAGTCCTTTACACCAAAATGAATTTGCCTTTAGTCTTTCCTGTGCTCCTGAACTTTCTTTGGATTCTGCCTGAGATGACGAGTCCTTTGAATTACAATTTCATGTGTGCAAAAGGCTTTTGTCGGTGAAATTGATGCCACTTGTCATCATTCATTTGATCCTATAAGACATTTTGGGGAAGTTCTGTCCTTGTAAGTGTTCCAATTTTTGAGTTTTTGCCAGAAAGCCCAAAAAGAGGTCACAGCGACCTTGACCACACAGACCTCATGATCCTTACTGAGTCTATATGGATGTTTCTACAACATCTGAAGCTCTTCCCTCTAAGTATCCCCGATTTATCGCTCTCACAAGATTGAAACAGACACGATGGACTCCCCAACCAAAAATATCATGCCTCTGGCCCCAGCTTTCACCAGAGCCTGAAATCAGACCCAGAAATAGAACAGACAAACACTGGCTGACCGACAGAAGGTCAACAGATGCTTATTAGACATCTGATCCAGCTGCCTCTTACCTCAGCTTGGTCCACTTGTACGTCCCCGTGGTTAATGTGAACGCTCCGATCTCACACTGCTGGACGTGCATGGCCAGGATGTGTGCAGACGGCAGGGTGGGCCTCCTCATCGTGTGTTCTCCTCCCATCAGACACAGGTCATCACTCTTCAGAAACACCTGAGAGAGAGCGTGGTATACAAATGAGTATAGCAGACCCAGCTACATCAGCTCTGGACTGGGATAGAGGATTTGAAATACAATGCAGCAATGAAGCAGACGTCCAATAAAATCAGCCAAAGCCAAGAAGTGTACACACTTTTCTCATGATTACAGTGAAAAAAGAAAAGTTTGCATGATATTGCAGCCTGCTGTTTGAAGCATCAGGTTCTTTTGAGGGAAACTTTGAGGAGCAGAGCCAGCTGTAAGCCTTCAGAACACAGGCGGGGTTTGCTCGAAGCTGTTTTTCTATCGATTTGTTTGCCCTGCAGCCCAAATCCACAATATGTGACTAGCAGAGCCTTTGGTAACAAACAACATGCTTTCTCAAACACACCTACACACAGACACACACTGACGCAGAGACACACCTGCACAGCTCGTAGCTCCTCCAGGATCTCACACACCTTGGTAGACAGATGTTTCCAAGCCTGTTGACAAAGGACCAGAAAGTTTTAGTTAGTAACTCTAAAATTAAAGCTAATTATATGCTGGCTTGAATAGAGATAATCGCAGTCACAAAAAAAAAAAAACCGAAATGTCTTATAATATGTCTCATATGTGCAAAGGTGTCTTATAACTGTGAGTCTTCAATGACTCATACTCAGAACACATTCCCACTCTCTCTCCATCTTATCTGAATGCATTTATGCTTATTTCTAATTTTCTAAACTAATTAAACACCGAGTGATTCTCACACAGCCGTACCAAAAACATTTAGCTCGGGGCATCCGACTTATTACAGAAACTCAGAGTGAGTGTGAGGGGGAATTTATGAGATGCAGCCTTACGGGTAATTGCCTCACAATCACGTTCTCCAGACCTCCAAGGACCTGCATGGCAGTGGCAAAGTTTCTCGCTTCGTAGCAGTGTTTCCCGATCCACAGATACTTGGTCAGCACAGCAGCTTGAGTCTGCAGCAGGAGACAGCTTGCAATGAATACAAGAGGAAAATGCAAAAAATGGGAAATGCAGAAACCCAGTAATGCTGCCAATAAGATTCGAACTAGGGCTGTAAAAAAAAAATACACTAAACTCAATATATGATACCTACCTTCAATACTGGTTTTACCAAATAATATTGTTCAATTTTTGAATTTTTACAAAAACTGATACAAGTAAAATAATCTATATTTTCTGTTTAAAAACTAAGAAAGATAATATCTTACAAACTGCCCTTTTAAAATGTATATTCAAATTAAAAGATAAGGGTTTTAAAGGTCCAATCTGTAAGATATCTACTGAATTAACTCATAAAGGTATCTTACTATATGATCAGACATTAAGGAAACATGCTATGTTGAAGTGCTGGCTTCTCTGACAACAATGCAGCAGCCAGTATGTCCTCCTTCTAACTTTAGATTCTGGTCCTGAATGCTCTGGATTTGTGTGGACCAGAGAAGGTAGGCGCTTTTAAGACACCCCTACACAGCTGTTTTGGACACCCCTCGGTTTGCCTGATATGAGAGCAGTTATCAGGTCAAACCAACAGGTGTTGCAGTGATGGAAGCGGGTAAGAGAAGTGGTTCAGATAGAAGTGATTGTACCCGACCTAAAAAGCCTCTTCATGTTTCTAATAAGCTCCACGAGCAGAAACGTGCTCAAACTAGGATCAATATTGGAGATGCTTTTGAAAAATGGAGAGAGGTTAGAACACAGAAAGGTTTACAGACCGATGCAGAGCTGGATAAACACTGAAGCTTCAGTGTCCGCGAAATGGTAACCCACATGCACATCAACTCTACAGACAAGTGGACGGGGGAGACAGCTCTCTACAATGTTTTGAATTTGGACTGCAGTACCCATTTGAAACACTAGGTGTCAGAGTTATATAGTGCTAAATCATATACAAAATCAAATAAATACATGTAAAGCAAAAATATGGAAAATCATGTGAATGAACAGGTAATGCTTTTTTATTATGGATTTCAGGATTTCCTTTTTTCCAATATTTTCTCCTTCTTTTGCTCTCTACATGGATTATTTGGCTGCATTCGATGAAAGCTTGCTCAGATATGATCAGTAAATTCTACATCGATTTAAAACGGAAACCAGACGGCTCGACAGACATGATTAAAGCACACCACAAGTAGATGAAGTGACAGGCGGAGTACTTGAGCTGTCATATATACAGCTACTTAATTAAAGTAATCAAATAATTCTGATTAAACCCACACCTCCTAAACCAGACGAACACTTTCATATTCTAATGAAATGTCTATCAGAAGGGATGAGGAAGTAGCTGAGGCTACTCCTCGACTATTATTTCACAGCTGTTCATAGGTCACAAATCACAGCACAAATGGGGCTCCGGATAGCCAAGTAGTCATGTCGCGCGCCCCATGAGGCAGAGGCTACAGTCCTCATCGCAGCAGCTGTGGGTTCAAATCTGACCTCTGCCCTTTGCTGCATGCCATCGGCCACTCTCTCCTCCCAACACTTCCTGTCTCTCTACAGCTGTCTTATCCAATGAAATTAGCCAAAAAGGCCCCAAAACACAACTTAACAAATGAAATCACAGCACATGCAGCATTTAAAAAGAAGATTAAAAAAGGACTGTTTCAGGATTCAGGCCTTTGAGTACATGTTCCTAAAGCTCTGTAAACATTCGAGTGTGAGGCGACAGAAGCGACAGAGTTCACATCTGGGGAAGTCTGTGACTGACACGTGGGTCCATGTCCGATGAGAAATCAACAAACCAGCTGTGACAGCAATGACTCCCCCCCCCTCCCCCCATCTGACTGTGTTACCTTGATGAGTTGTGTCTCCTCTCACCTTGACAGAGTCACAGATGACTATTTCAGCTGAGATCCAGTTGGAGACACTGTCAGCGAATGTGAGCAGCCGCAGGAGGAAGCTGTCTGAGGACGTCCCCTCAGATTCAAACACACTGCTGCCCTCTGCTGGTGGGACATGCTGAGACACATTCCTGGTGAGGAAACACAGAAGTGGGGGGGGAATTATACCAAGGAAGAATGACTGAGGCAGTAATTCATTATAAAGTGGATAACCATGAAATCATCTGCCTGAGAAGTTGAGGATTTATTGACTGATTTGGTTTCAAGTAAATGAACATGACACATATTTCCTGATAATATAGGTGAGGCACAGTCTACAAAACTGTACAGAACCAAACAGGACCGCTTGGTGGAAACGGAGCTTTGTTAATTACAGCTGTAATAAGTGGATATACTCTGTATACCTGTGTTTACCCTGCACTGCACCACTGTGTAGATCTTATTTACTTATTTATCAATGAATGATTCACCAAAATGAGTTTTATTAATGCATGATTTAATGGACATTACAGAAGGGTCTTTAATCCCTGCAGAAGTTGTCAAGTTGTCAACAAAGTTGGAAAATCACTCAAACTATTACATTTCATCAAACTAATTTCTCTGAGTTGAAATCAATAAAAATGACATCATTCAAAGTGAATACAGCTGGTGCATTATACTCACATGTTAGGGGTCGTCCCTTTGTCCATGACTCCTTGAGTTCTCGAGTTGAGGAAGTGAAATGGATGACATCCTTGGAACACTTCCTGTGGTATAAAACTTTATTATCAGAACTGATTACTGTACTCAGTGAGGCGTGGATTCTGCTTCGGTTCAAATGTGCACGATTCATCCCGGGACATTAAAAAACAATCAGTTCTCTATCTACCAAATATTATCACTAACTTTGTTGTCTTTGTAGATAACATTTCTGCACAGTGTTTTTACACTTTAACATATCTGATCTCTGTCTTTGCACATGAACAACGGTGTACGGTGATTGCACACGAACAGTTCTCTATTCTGTAACTGAACATCTACAACAGTGATCACTATGCAGCACATTCAGACCTCTACCTCCCTGTAAAGTACATTTCCTTCTCATTAGACTTCAGTTTTATATTTGTGTATGTATACCACATATATTTGAGACTTTATTTTCAAGAGTTTAATAGAATTCCTGGATGTATATTTTTTCTTCTTTATAAGTGTTTATGGTTACTGTGTGTTTATTTTATTATTTGCTCTGATAACCTGCCCAGCAACAACACATTTGTTCCACTTTTGGTTCAATAAAGACATCTATCTATTTTCTATTTATGCATTAAAGTCCCCCTCTAGTGGTAGAAATAGACATCAACCAATTAAGAGAAGCTGTGAAGCATGTGTATGTGTATGTGTATGTGTATGTGTGTGTGTGTGTGTGTGTGTGTGTGTGTGTGTGTGTGTGTGTGTGTGTGTGTGTGTGTGTGTGTGTGTGTGTGTGTGTGTGTGTGTGTGTGTGTGTGTGTGTGTGTAATGTGTACCTGCTGCAGCAGGGTGAGCTGCTGGGCGATATGCTGAGCGCTGTAGTCACTCTGGCTGAAGGGGAGCCGCTCCTCGCCGTGAAGGCACACATTAGAGAGGTCGTCCAGCATGGAGCTGTAGCACGGCATGGGCAGGGCGGCGGCGATGGAGAAGGCCTTCTCTTTGGGCACGGAGGAGGAGTGTTCAACCACTCTGGAGAATCTCCACTGAATCAAGTTCAGAACAAGATATGTGACAGAAGAGGAAACAAGCTCTGAACTGGCTGCTTTAGTATTTCATGCAGGACGCTCTGCACAGTAAAATCAATACAGAAGATTTATATTTTTAAAACGGTTCATTTGGCATCAAACTCGTCAGGCTGAAACACATCGTCCCTAAATTAAAACCTCATAAATTACTTTATTTTCTTCTAGAATAAATTCATGTAACTGACAGGTTTGGACTTTGACGGCATTTTTGTGTTTCCCCTTTTTGTGCACAAGAGCTGTAAGCTCTAATCATACAGGACTGAACCTGCTGCTGATTACGACTGTAGGATCAAAGGAATCAGTTTATGCTTATGAAAGTTGTCATAGTGGAGGAATGGTACTGACCTTTCTACCGAGGTCCTCAGTGGACGAGTGCACACACGAAGAATCATCATCTTCTTCAATGCTGCTCAGGCTTCCTCTACATCGGCTCCAAGTCTTACATGCAGGGCTGTGGAGGGCAGCAAGGATGGCCTCCCCTCGACTGTCCACAGGAATCACCTGGGGGGATAAAGAGGCAACTACAGATTGGAAGACATCGTCTATTTCATGAATACAGGAAAGAGAAATCACAGGTTATCTGCATTTTAAAGAAAAAAAAGTTGAAATGGATGCCTTGTGCTAAGGTGATTTCAATTGGTGCTTATATATATTAGCCTTTAAACAAACTCTGCAACTGTTTGACTTTACATTTGAAATAAATGTTTAACACAGAGAAAGACTTGTTCGTTCATCAAAAGACAGATTCTTAATCATCTTAATAAATCTTTTTGTAAGCAGCGTCAGTAGAAACAGCTTGTTTTTATTCATGAGCTCAAGAACAAGATGAAATATAATTCAAATATTGAAATTGCTTTCCAACAATTTGCATGATAAGACAAGTCATTGCTGTCATGAGTAGAGCAAAGTGGCCCTTCTGTGTTACCTCAGTGTTCAGGAAGTTTTCTAATGTTTCCACGAGGCCTGATTTAGTTGTGAAGTCCACCTCTCTGCAGTCTGATACCCAGAACTGAAGCAGGTCCAGACTGCGATGAAAGATCTTCTCACTGTCTCCTGACATGTCCGGACCTTGTCTGGAAAACAAACCATGCTGTCAGTGCAAAATCTTTCATACGTTGTGCTGTTGTGTTTTGTAGTTTACATGGAGGCAGGCATACTCCACACACACACACACACACACACACACACACACACACACACACAGCTGCTGCTCTCTATGATCACTACCTGGCTGCACAGATGAATTTATCCATAATGAAGTGCAGCAGCTGCTCAGGCGTGCACAAGAAGCGGTAGGTGTACAGGAACTGCTGGATGTAGCCCTCCATGGCAGCATTTCTGTGATGAAAAGGAACAAGTTCACTTCAATGGTTTCTTTCATCAAACATTCAACTTAAATTCAGCAGTATAGAAACTAGCAGCAACACATGATCAACAGAGAATAGTGTGATGTCCCTGGAGCGTGCTGTGTGAGGGGGAGTAATCACGCAAAGTTCTTTGAAATCAACAAAACACTAAGTAAGTGCTGTTCACACATGATCGGCCATAAACCTGCTCTGTGCTGGCTGTGCAATTGTTCTGAGATGAAAGAACATTGCTGGACACATTGGCAGCAGAGCCTTGGCATGGCATACCACTTAAACTTACCATTGAGCACTGGGCTATAAGTTTAAACTCTACAACTTTGACCTCAGTCACTGCTGACTTTTTAAAGCGCAACCAATAATGTAACAGCTGTATGTTAAAAAGCCAGAGGCAACACCAAGCGGCAACCTCCAGGGTGGAAAAGTGAAGCCAATGCATAGGTGAACAAACTGTAGTTCCTCTAGTGTCCACTAGAGGCTGACTGCTAGCCCAGGAAGTCTGCTTTTTTATATATTAAGGCTAAGAGTTATGAAGACATTTGCATGATTAGGGGTGTTTCTGATTTGCATGAAAGGTGGGCGTGATGTAGCCAGAAGGCTCGAAGCCCGCCTCAACTCCACCACTTTGACCATTTCTAGAGTGATCAAAACTTAGGTGGGGACAGAATTTCTAAAAAGTTGATGCCACTGTTCAGCTTCAACATGCCTGTTCAGAAACCTATGCTGTTCATTTAGTTTTACAGTCTATGGGCAACACATGCAAGCAGGAGAGGGTTGAAGGCTGGAGAAGTACTCAAATCTCTCACTAATGTAAGGCTTAAAAGATAGAGTCACAGTGTGTGGTGGTGACTGTGTCTGCAGAGAACCTGTCCTCTGCCTGGATTTCCATGATTTGTTTGGTTTTGGTTGACACTGGATGTTTGTGGGCGGGGGAGCTGGTGTGTTTCCTCCAGCCAATGACAGTGTGCAGGTGAGTGTAGGAGTGAATAAAACTCAGGAATTGGACGCCATTCAAACCAGCCAGTATGAGAGATGTGGACGTATAGCAGCAAAGTAGAGAAAATAATAACGCTCAGCGAGGCAATATTTGAGGATATTAAACCTTGCTTATGTGCAGCTTTGTATTTTGTTCTAGTGTTTTATTAAAATGTTCCTCCATTTTCTAAGCTGATAAATCAGACACCTTCTGAGGACAGAATGAGAACCAGCCTTATCAAAAAAACAAAAAAAACACAACAGCTTCTCCTTCAGGCAGTGACAACTAAGTCATGGGCTGTGTTCCTGCTGCTCTGATTGTTGATGCTGTTTCCCATGGCAACCGATACAAACAAGCTGCTGAAGAATCAAACCAGGTTGTTTAAAGATTTTAGAACTACAGCTGGCATTTTTGAATGTCAACGAAATCACAATTATGGCAACGGAAACATAAATTGTCTCAGATGGAGGTCTTCACAGGTCTACAGGAACCAGAGATCTGGTCAGGGCCCTGTATGGGATGGACTCCATGTTTCATCATGAGCAAACAGGTCCAGGGTCTGTTTTTAAGGACTCCTCAAAGTTCTACAATTTAATACAAAAACATATCTTGAAAAACTGTCATCTTTCTGTTCAGATGAGCATTGTTGACAAGGTAACAGCCCCACACAGTTCAAGAGAATTTTGAATGTCCTTGTAACTGAAGCACTTTTATAAGTGATGTCAGAGTCTCCAGTGGTTTTGACAACAAGTCCATCTTTGTTTGACCAAAGAAATCATGTTTGAAGTGAGAATAATTAGTTTTACATTATTCCATTAGGCCTAATGCATTATAGTTCTACATTAATGAATGAATGAATTTATAACCAAGAACAAGAGCGTTATTTTTTCGGGATGAGTTGCTCTTGGTGGCTCCATCAGGGAGGAAAGTCATGACACAGATCGTAAACTGCATCATATCTGTTTAGTCTGGGTTTTATAAAAACCTACTCAAAACAGCATTAATGTTGTGAATAAATGAAGGAAGGATTTTTATCATTTTAAATCGTTCACCAAAAAGCATCTAGCATCAAGTAATCTAATTTAAAGCAGCTTCATGACATCACAAAGGGCAGTAACCCCTCCCCCAGGTGGGTGACACTCACACAGCTAGGTGTTTATAGACATGAGCAAATACAGGATCAGAGTGGATTTAGAACAAAACACTTCACAGACATGTTTCGGGGACCTCAGAGACTTATTCAAATTGGTTGAAAAGTGGGATAATATGTGACCTTTAAGAACTGTTAATCCAGTTTTAGTAATCAAAAAAAGTTCATTCTCTCACTTTTCTCCGTTGAAAACCCAGGAGAAAAGTGAACTGGATTATGTGGTCCTTGGTAGACAAAAAGTAGATTACCAAATCTGGATCATTTTCATTTGGAAATAAAAACTTTTTAACAATGTGACCCTGGTGGTGAGAAGGAATAATATAAACCATCTGTACTTATCAATGATAATAAGACATCAGAGCTAAGGCTGATGGGGATGCCGTTAGTTTTGCAGGCATTTAGTCGTAAAATAAATAATCAAATGTTGATTAATCTGTTTCTCTGATCTACTTTGAACCTTTATGAATATTACCTGGCGTAGAGGTAAGCCATGAGGCCCTCAGGAGACCCCGCCTGCAGAGTTCTCTTCCCTTTGCTTGTACCATAACTCAGAACTGATGGATCCTCAGAGGACTGGACGTCCACGGAGGGTCCACATACGGCTAAGGAGGGCAGTAATGAAACCTCCAGGCCCCACTGGTCCACACTCAGAACCTGAATCATTACAAGAAATCATTTCAGGGTTAAAACGCTGTGAGGAAATGACTGAAAAAACACTAGTGTTGGAGCTGGAGTGCTGACTCAGTACCTCGAGGTATTTCTTCACGCTGTCCAAGAAGAGCACTTTGGATCGGAGTTCTTCAAACTGGGTCTTGATTTTGGATGGCATCAGTTTGCTCTCTGAACCTTTGGGACACATACACAGTTTATCATAGACCATACTGGACACTGAGGCTGTTCTCCAGTATTATATAAGAATTACAGTCATGCAACCTTTGTTCTTTCTCTCTTGCTGAATCAGCTTCAGGTAGAATTTTCTGGTTTTCTTCAGATTCCTTGTTTCAATCATCAGCTGCTGCTGCAGTTCCTGGATAAAGAAAATCACACCAACCCATAAAAATGGCCTTAAAATAACACCACATGCCTTTCACTGAGAGAAGCCTTCGGGTCTTTCCATTGTGTGTGTGGAGCTGTGTTTCTTTTTTTCCTCTCTTCACCACGGCAACAGAATGCAACAGCTCTTTTGAAGTGAGAAGTTGCAGCAGCGCGGCGCTTAAGGTGTGTTATTAGCTGTGGTACAAACGGCCTGTGCTTTCAAAGTGTGTGAACACAAAAGCTTTTCATTAATATTCTTTTACAAATGATAATAACTTCCTCTGCCAGGGGCGAAGTTCAACGCATTAATATTCAGATCCAGTTTGGAGAGAATAATACAGCAATTATCTGAAAGTCCCCACACATTTTCTTTTCCTGTTTACCCAAGAGCCTGACTGTGCTACACTTCATTACTGATAGGAAAGTGATTCCAGCTCTTATTCAAATAGCCTGACCAGGAGAGGGACAATGTGGCCAGCAGGCACTCAGGTGCAACATTATACAAATATATATAAAAACTGGATTTGAAAAAAAAGGAAATCTTATTTATTTATAGCATATACTGTCTGCAGGTTATGAAACACTAAAGGTGCTTCCACACTTGCAGAAAACTCCAGAAATCTTCCTGAAATGTTTGGGGTGAGCTAAATGTGTCAACGCCAACAGGTGATTCTTTTTTCTCCCGGTGTCCACCTTGTGATTTTTCCGGGCTGGCTGGCTGTGCGCTCAGGAGTGCTTGCATTGAGCGAGCACGTCCGTCCTGTCTCTATGACAACCGTCTGTTGATGACGGCTGCTGTATGACCAACACTGCTCGGTTTAATAGTTTAATATTTAAGATCGTTTTTTTTTCCGATCAGACACGGAGCAAAGAGGATGTGAGTACAAGACACGACCTGTAGGCGGTTAAAATGCAGGGAATATCTTCACCAATTGGAAAAAAGTGCTGGTGATGTCAAACAGCGCCTTTCTGAAAAGTTGAATGATTTTCAACTTGAGCGCTCGGAGCGGCCGCACAAAAATGGTGGAGCACTCAGAAAAAAGACGCTGGGTGCTGCACTTTTTCTCCAGACGACCGTTTTCTGCTCTGATCTCTCTCTACCCATCGAAAAACAATAGAAAAAAAACACGAGGTGGACACGGGGTCTTTCTCAAAATTTCCCTGCCAGTAAATGTTGCACTAAAGTCAGGGTGAACTGGTGTGACAATGTGGCAGGAAATATTCAGGAAAATGAAACACAATGGGAGTGGGAGGTGGAGGAGAGGTATTTATCCAGCATCGTTTCTTATCAGTGACTGCTTCATTGGGTTTTCAGTTAGCCAGCATGTTCTTCCCCGCTCGTCTGTGGGCATTGCGAATGTGTTGAACTACACGTAGCATTAGTATAAAAGCAAAAGTCTCATTAAAGCTTCGGCCTCTCTTACTTGGTCCGCCACTTCTGTAATTTTAACCAAGTCAGGTCCCACCCTGCCCCCGTTCGCCCTCCTGGTTCACTGGTCTGTCAGGGACAGTGAGGTTTATGTGTAAACAAGTAACTCAGGAAGAGTTCAGGTGCAGTCTGCCTGACATTTTCAGGATTACTTTTTTTTTTCTTTTGCCGAAGAAATCTGTTCTAAACGTATCTACTTATTGACAGACCTGCTGATTATTATGCACATCTATCCTGTTATCAACATGCATGAAATAAAAGCAGACCTTGTGACACAGGGTTCAGTGTGTAGTCTGAGAGGATCTGATGCACAGGCTGCTCTTTGTTCAAACACACCGGGTTAAGGTCAGATATGACGCACAGACAGTGAGTGTCTCAGGTCTACCCACCTGTGTTTTCACATCCAGGCGTGGAGATCCTGTGTGCTGCCCAAGATTCCCAGCGTACTGGATCACTTCTGGACCGAAACAATCCTCTCCATAGTAGGCCAGGGCCCAGGCTGGGCTGAAGCTGAGACCCGGCCCCTCTGCTCTGGATCCAGGCGAGACGAGCCGCTCTGACACCAGAGAGTCGCTATCCTCCATGTCCTCCGAGCAGTCCGGGCTCATCTGCTCGTCGTGGGCTCCAGTCGGGCCTTCATCTCTCCCTGACAGAAACTCGGCTTCAGAGGGGCTTTCATCGCTGCCCCCCACTGAATATTCTCCTCCCTCCATGACCCCTGCCTCGGAGCCGTCAGTGCTCATGCCTCCACCAGCAAACAAACAGTAGTGAGAGGGGGAAGAGGGGGGGGAAAAAACAGAGAGAGGGACTGAATCACATGCAGAGAAAAAAAAAATGAACTGGATTTGTAATAAAAACAGAAGAGTCTTTGGTGGGTATTTGTTACGGCTGCACAATGCATCCACTGTTTGACAGATGAAAGTTCAAAATTCACCTCATTTATTGCTATCTTTTATTTGATCTCCAGTACCTTGTGAGAACCTGTTAGTAAGCACAATCCAATATGAGTGTTTTCATGGCACAGCTAATGCAGAAACCAGGGTTCATGTCTCTTTTTAAATGTCACTGGCCAGAAAACGATAACAGAAGAGAAGCAAGTGAAGAGTTAGCTTGCAGCACACCTTGAACATGAACACGCTTCAATCTTAACAGCAGCATCCAAACCATCAATCACAACGTTTTTCACTGAAATTTTACAAAAATATTTTAAAAATCTCAGAGGTTCAGAAGCCCTTCGAGGAATGTGAGGAAAAATAATCTGGTATGCATTTTAAAGTCTGATCATAATGTTTTGTTTCTTTGTGTGTTTATGACATAATAACAGCAAGACAAGAAAGTAGAGCATTATCTATTAGTGCTTTTACACTTGCTTAAATCTCCTGAAAAACTCCTGATATTTCCCGGAGGAGCTGCATGTGTGAACGCAAACAGCTCAGTATTTCACTTTCTCCTGCCAGACCCCTGAGTGTTTTCACCTCGAGCCAACAGGAGGGGGATTGACATTTATATCCTGTGACTGCTGCACGGTACATAGAGTGTAAGCATGCATTACCGGTATTAGTTTTCTGTTCGTCAGTATGTTGTTCTTCTCTCTTTATCGCATCGATATAAAGGCAAATATTCTCATTGTAGCGTTGTATGGCGGACTCTGCCGCTTCGACCGCTACTTATGCACCGTTGATTTTACATTACGTCTTACCTCAGGAGACACCCCCCTCCCCCTTCTGTCTGACAGGGATAGTCTCCCGCTGTGAGGAGCATGTGTGAACAGCCGGGTCGGGAGAATCTCCGGAGCGGCTCATATGTGAAAACGGCTTATGTATGTTTTGTTTGTTTTTATTTTTGATGCAGATAAAAGAAAATTCTTGAATAACATCTTTGTTCTGTGGTTAAATTGGAAAAAATGCAAGATTTATTTGGCTGATTTCTTTTTTTTTTTAAATTGTAATACTACAAGAAAGCCCAGGAGAGCATGTTTCTCCTGAGGAGGCTTTTTTGAGGCGCTGTACAAAGAAAGATTGATTAAAAATTTTGAGAAGTCAGACAGGACATTTTAACAACAGTATACCGGCCACTCATTGAATCAGTCCTAACATTTAACATCAAATCCTGGAACAACTTTCTCCCCTGAAAATGCAACAAAAAAAAGCTCACTGGAAGCATCAAACATGCAGCCAAAATCACCTGCACCATCTAAATCCAAATGTCAGAACTCTGCATGCGTGCAGCAGAAAGGACCCTTCACACCCCCTTCATTACTCAACGGCTCTCATCACACAGCTGATTCAGAGGAAGACTGGCTCAAAAGAAAATCTACAGAAACTCTTTTGTCCACACTGCGATACACATTTTAAACAAGGCTAGATAAACACTTCTTTTTAACATGCTCTGCACATTTGCTTTTACCTATCTATGGAACTTTTGGTATGATTTTAGTGAGGCTAATGGGTGTGGATGTTTTTATGTTACTTGAGCCAGCGATCATTTTCTTTCACAATGTGATAAACTGTAATATTTTTTTGGATCTCTTGAACCTCTAATTTTGGCCACAAGGCACTCAGGTTCATGTCCCGTCTATATTTCTAAAACTAAATCCAGAGTTGAACCAGCTTTCAAATATTTGAATGAGATTCTTTTCTGTTGTGCGCCTTGTTATCTTAATTTGTTTTATCTTTCTCATGAAGAACAAATAAGACATTGAGTATGCCAGTGAGTCTCTCCTACCTCTACTGATGACGTCTTGACTCTCCTCTGATTTCAAGTTCAAATCTTCAAGTGAAGCTTCATGTTCTCTGCGACGGGACCGGGCTTCGGCTCCTTCCCAAGGATCCACTTCAGCTGGACCGGACGTGTGAATGTTTCCATTCAAGTCGAAGCAGCCATGCGAGAAAACTTCCCTCTTCTCTGCGCGGACCGTGGCGATGGAGGGGGGTGTCACGGCTGCCCTTTTCACAGTCTTTGATGGAGGCTGCTCATTAGAGCCGCTGCAGGAGGCGCATTAGGAAACAGCAAACACATAGTGTGAGTGTTCAAGGCTCGTGATAATTGGAACTTATGTAAAGAATGATGTCAATCATTTGCATTTGAGTGTGTAATGAAAGAGAAAATGGGAAGGAAAGGCCAAAACAAAACCTTCGACAAACTTCACAAATAAAGAAGGATTCAGGATACAACGCGATATGATACAATTCAATGCAATACATCCTGAAATGATACAATACAGCATTAAACGGTACAGTGGGATATTACATGACAACATATATGGTACAATAAAACATCATCTGCGAAACAGAACACAACAATAATACTACACATCGTGATACAACACGGTGCTAAACGTCACAACACGCTACAATCTGTACTGTAAATGATGCGTGTCAGAGTTTAAACGCACCACCTGTTGATGTAGAGACTAAAATCCTCCCTCCATCCTCCCACCTGTCTGTCAGATGACAGACACACACACACACACACACACACACACACCCCTTTAGGCTACTGGTCAGCATATCAATAAGAGCACAGAAAAAGGCTTGAACTGTATATTCACTACTGTTGCCAAACACTCTCTAAAGCACAATACAATGTAGAGCTGTTTCCATAGCGACCATTCACGCTGCCGGCTGCAGTTTGTGTAAGAAGTGGGTGTTGTGTAAATGCTCATTTGAATTCTGTAGATGATAAGTGATATGTAAGCGTGCTGAGGAGAAAAAGGTCATCTTCAGTGTGCCTCCTATTCAGATCCAATTTACGAATAAATTAAAATCTATCCTGCTATCCTGAATCCCTTTTTTTAAATTTTTTTTTTAATTAAGGTTAATTACTCAGACAGCAGTGATGCTCTCTTCAACTCAGAATGTGGGTTAATTGTGCTGATTCGATTCATTAGACAACACACTCCCTGAGATGCTGTCAAGAGTTACAAACCTGATATGTGACTGACAGGGAGGAGCATGTTGGTAAACTGGAAAAGTGAATGCTCAGTTATTATTATATCTATCTGCTCATTAAAGTATTTTGTATTTATTTGCTTTCTCCAATTTCTTAAAGGAGCAATATGTAACTCTGACACCTAATGTTTAAAATGGGTACTGCAGTTCAAATTCAAATCATTAGAGAGCGCTGTCTCCCCCGGCCCCCTCCTCTCTAGAGTCGATGCTCACGCAGGTTGCCATGTGGTGGACACTTAATCTCATCTTTAAACTAGATTTAGCATCATAGATTCAATGTTGCCTTTTTTTTCTTTCCTCGTTTATTATTATTATTTTTTTCATCTGCACATCTTTCAGTGTGCTTTTTTAAATCATTATTATTCCCACAATCCAGAGGGTTCATTAAGCATCTCATTTAAGCACACATACGGAAGTGAAAAGCACGGTTGATGATGTTCAACCATTCAAACTTAAAAAAGCTTTTTATCCCATAAGACTGGATTTACATGCAAAGACTTTAATGATGTTGTTGTTATTATTGTTGTTCAAACAGCTCTATAGTATGGCTAAAGGTAGACAATAGGGGTGTAAAGGTACACGTACTCGGACCGGACCGTTTCGGTATTAGAGAAATGTTTTCTTGACCTTTCTTCCAGAACAATTTAATGATAAACTACAGTTCATCAAAACTCTGCTGATGGACTTTTAACCAGAACAGGAAGCATAGAGCTTCACAGTTCAGTGTTTGCTGACACGCATCGACACCTAGCATTTAAAAAACCCACATTTTCTTAAGTTCTTCAGCTTGTCTCCAAGGCTCTTAATGTTTTTTATTCATGCCTTTTTTTCAATTTGATTTCTTGGTTTCAACATCAATTATATTATTTATTTTTTCCTTGTCAGTTTGATTTGATTTCTGAATTTGAAATAAAGCACCACAAGCTGCTCCTGCTGTATAAAGGCGGCACTGTCTCAGTCCATAAAGGATTGTATTCACTGCATCACGTATAGGCAGCCTGTCATTAGAGTGATTTGTCATTTTGATCTGAGAGATCTAAAACGTGGTCAGTGAGTTATGTTTGAAACAAAGTTTAAAATCAGGTGTCACATTTGTGCAGTCTGAGATCCTCCAGATAGACTCATATCAACATCTGAATTAGGGTTGTATCGACCAACTGTCTCTTAATGGAAATGAAGATTCATGATGCACCATGCATGACTTTGTGATGATTTCATGCATGAAATTATATTAAGATGCAAACAATCTTCATTCTGTCTCATGACCAAACACTCAACTTAAACATGTCTGTCCCTTTAAACACACCTGTTTGCAATATACACTTAACTTCTTTCAACAATAGAACATGTCTGAACCTGAAACATGTCTTATCCATTATTACCCAACCACATCGTTCATATTTACGGAGCCCTTAAGACAACATCGCTCAAACAAATAAAAGAATACGGTTCTAGTGATCACGAGAAACTTTAACCATAGACATGAGAATGTGTACCATCTCCTGCTCACAGGATAGTTTCTGGTGTGCGCACAATTTATTTTCTTCAACTGATGCTGCCTTTAGGCCAGCTTTCATAACCCTGGGGTCCTGACCCCTTGTAAACACAACACTCAAACGGGGCCCCTCCTACTCCTGGGCTCACCTCCTCTAGGGACACACACTCTCTGCAGGACGAAGTGTGTGCGTTTACTGCTTGTATCTACACTGCCACTCTTTGCCCCTATGTCCACGTCCATCATATTGGCCGGTTTGAATGGCGACCAGTTGAAGTTGTTGAGTTGAATTGTATCCACTCCTGAACACATCTGCGCACTGTCATTGGCTGAGAGAAACACACCAGCTCCCTGCCCAGAAACATCCCGAGTCAACCAGAGCAAACCAAAACAATAAAATCCAGTCAGAGGACAGAGTCTCTGCAGACACAGTCACAACATCACATGTATGGAGGCCCAGAAGTGGCGATTCAGCGACATTACTTTTCCATTTTTTCAGGCAAAAGCTTCTGACTCCATCTTTAATGAATACATTATAAATGTCCTCTTTCTCACATGTTTGTAATCCTATTAGGCACATCTGTCTCCTTGTCTCAAAGATTTCCTTGCGGAGGCGCTGAGAGAAACCCTGAGGATGTTTTGTTTCTTCACCATTATGGTTTTTTATTGCAGTTTTTATTGTACTAAACACAACAGAGATAGTACAATACATCGTGTTGTAACCTTTTATTCAATACAAATAATGGAAAAATACCAATATGTCCCCTTGATGAAAACAGCCTGATATGGAACCTTAATGAGCACATTCCTTGTATGTAACCATGATGTGCAAAGCCTCCCACGAATGACCTTTTTGGATACCATGATGAAAAACGACCTCCAATTATGGAAGAGAAACTTCTTATCTCATGAAGTGTGTGTGGGGGAAACTGTGTGTTCTTTAGTCCGGGGAGCTCCTCTCACAGACTACTCTACTCTGTGAGATTTCTACCTTCATAAAGAAACATCGGACTCTGACTCGATCTCCTGACTATTCTGTAGTCATTTCTCTAACAACAACTAAACATCAACTGGAGAGATCACCGAAGCATACCAATCACTACATGGCATAAATGCACCTTTGTCTAGCCCACAGTTTAGGAGGGGAGGTTTGTTTGTTGAGCGAACAGAAAACCAGACAGCCGTGTTAAAGTTGTACTCACAGTGTGGACAGGCTGTAGTTCACCAGGCAGTGCAACACACCCAGTAAGTCCTCCTCCCAGTACAGATGACTGAACCTCTCCTTCACAACACTGGCAAACGTGTGGTACTGGAGGTCCTTCAGAGAGAAGATGTACTCCCCTCGGAAAGAGAAAAGAAGCAGATATCTGTGTGAATGTGTCAGATAAAACTCAGCACAGAATCAAAAGCGTAAGGAGGGTTATGTCTTGCTGTAGAAACATCCAGGAGATTTGTTTTCTGTCCGACACAAAGGGCGCTCTTTCATCTTCTTCCATCCTGACGTCAATGGAAACAGCAAGAGTGAGTGAAATGTGAGTACGCGTTATCTAGTTTTGTTCCACCTGGGGGCATCCCCCACAGTGGAAAGCTGGGCACTGGAGAGCCAGTGTGTCCATGTAGAATCCAATTAGAAAGCTTTGTGTCTGTGTGACGATACTCTCAAAACCACATCTAACCCTTCCAAGAAAATCACATCTTTAGTTTATGAGAAATATTACCAAACAGGACTTGTCCCCCCATCAGTAAGAACTCAAGCAGCCCTTCATTAGTATCCCATTTCCAAACTAAGTCATTATGTAAAATGATATATAAGTCAGTCTTTTTTATACATGTTCAGGTTAAGTTGACATTTTTGATCGTACCGTCTGAAAAAAACATTTACCTACAACCCTTCATTACTTAGAGATATCAATAATAATGTCTCATCAATTACTTTTTTAAAGACACTTTTAAACTTGAATTCATCAATATTTGATTTACATTTTAGTTATTTTGCATAACTTTAAGTCGACTGTTTTGATTGTTTGAATTTTATTGTGTTAAATGGACCAGTGTAAACAGGAAGTGTTTTATTTTGATAGGTAAGTGGAATATTTACACACATTTTTTTTTTACTTTTTAATGAATGACCAAAATAAAGAAAATAAATTCATTCATTCATTGAACTCCAACCTCTGTCTGTTTCTTTACATACTTTTAACTTCTGGCTGCGACATTTCCTTTAAATTTCAGTTTGCTACTTCAGGGTTTCATAACTTCTATTATTTAATGTGTTATGCAGAAGTAGGACAGTATTAAGGCCAAGTTAATGAAAAAAATAATCTAACATTTACGAAAATATAGTCGTAAATTTACAACATTAAATGTATAAATGGATTTAATTTACGCTCTGGTTAAAATTATTATTCTGAAAGGTTGAATCAGAAGAGCAGTATGAAAATGATGAAAGGGGAACCCTCAAAGACATTGAGGATGTCACTGTCCCAGTGTCTTTCAGTTTCTCTTCAGGGTCCTGATACTGATGACCATGTGATGCTGATGTGCCAAAAGATGAAGTATCTCCTCAATAGTGAAACCTTTACTAAAGTACAACTTCACAAGATGCTCCTCCTTCCTCACTGTTTACAGCTGTAACTGTAGATAAAAATAACGACTTTCTTCTTGTAAATGTTCGACTTTAATCTGGAAACCTGAGGGTTTTTTTTCACTTAATGTGGTCCTAATACCCTTTTACAAAAGTTATAGCTATGATTATTGTTTTATTTTAATACTTTACGCAAACTTTGATAAATGTTTAATCCATTACTTTTAGCGTAAACACTTTATTTTTATAATCTTTCCTCAGCTTCAGTATAGCTCTTCAGCTCTGACCTGCAGCAGTACTGTAATCCTGCTCAGCCAACACCACCCCAGCATCCACCTGTAGACCCCACCACCACCCTTGCATCAACCTGTAGACCCCACCACCACTCCAGAATCCACCTGTAGACCCCACCACCACCCTCGCATCAACCTGTAGACCCCACCACCACTCCAGAATCCACCTGTAGACCCCACCACCACTCCAGAATCCACCTGTAGACCTCATCACCACTCCAGAATCCACCTGTAGACCTCATCACCACTCCAGAATCCACCTGTAGACCCCACCACCACCCCAGAATCCACCTGTAGACCCAAACACCACCCCAGCATCCACCTGTAGACCCCACCACCACCCCAGAATCCACCTGTAGACCCAAACACCACCCCAGCATCCATCTGTAGACCCCATCACCACTCCAGTTTCTGCGTGTTAAATAAAACTGACTGGCGATACTGATTTTGCCAACCAATAATCTTTCATTCACACCCTTGAAGTACACCCTGGTGGAGATGACACCCTGGTCAAAAATAAAGACATAAAGAGCAGATAAAGGAGTGAAAGGATTTTTCACCGATGCTTTGTTCAAAGAATCCATCCATCCAGTATCTATTATCTAATCTGCTTTTCCCCATCGAGATCGAAGGGGGCTGGATCTGATCCCAGCTGATATTGGGAGAGAGGCAGGGTTACACCCTGGACTGTTCTCCAGTCAATCACAGAGCTGATAGAGACAGACACAGACACACTCACATTCACACCTACAGGTGATTTAAAGTCACCCAGAGAGAACCCACGCATGCACAAGGAGAACATACACAAACCCCACACAGAAAGGCTCCTGACGAGGATTAGAACCAGGAACCTCCTCGCTGAGAGGCAACAGCGCTAACCACTGCACCACCCCTTATTAAAAGCAAATGAACAAATAGTACATTGGTTTTAAATGCAACTAAAAACACATACCCATTGCTATGTCCTCATGTCCATTGTCCAGGCACCCGTTAAGTGAGAACTCTCCTTTGAGCAGGTCAATCACTTCCTGCAGGGCCGGGTGGACTTTAGGGGAGACGGACTCAGATGGAGCTCTGTCCTCATTGCGTGTTCCTTGATCTGTGTGTCTGTTGTAATATCGATGTACTCTGTGCTCCAGTGGACTGTCAGAAAAAGTGGAGCTGCCTTTGAAAAGAGGTGAAGGTGTGCAGTAATCCTGGTGTTCAGGCTCAGTCAGACAGTTCATAAAAGCACCAACAGGGCTCCCTGGAGCTGTGATTAGCCCCTGCAGAGGCTGCGGCACCAGGGAGAGATCTATTTCCAACCCGAGCAGAGACTCTGGAGCCCGAACGTGAACAGGCACCAAGGAGAGATGACCTGTCCTGGGATCCTGATGGAAGAGGTAATTGTTGAAAACACCGCAACCATTCAGGTTAGAGGATAACTGCTGAGGGAGAGAGACTTCCATACGGGAAACATCAGGTAGAGACGATGTAGAGTTCGTCTCGTTGTAATAAGTTGGAGTTAGTCCTGTCTGGTTGAGAGTTAAGTCCTGTATTTGTAGTTTGGGTTCAGTCTGAGCAGAATACAGGTCGTCAGGGTGTGTGGTGAAATCAAGACCCCTTTCCTCATCCACTTCACTGCTTTGTGTGAATCCATCTACAGTCCTGCAAAATTAAATGAAATAGTTTCACATTCCACTTCATACTGGGCCTGACATTTCTACATCTTAAACCTCAGTGTAAATCACAGAGTTACAATCAGGAAGTGGGGCCAACAGCCACTGAGGTAGCTGCCCAAAGACATCAAAATGTGACCGCCTGCCCTTCACGCTCTCGATTTCTAACACATTAAAACTTGTTTGTTCAATCAGCACAATAAACTAGGTCTGAGAACAACAACCATGCACTTCTGTGGATGGTTATGTGCTCAACATGACGCACAAAGACAAAGATATACTTATTTTGGAGCCATAGCTTTGCGTGTCTTTGTGCATCATATCTAGTGATTTTTTACAACTCAGCATCTAAAAAAGTGAGGTGCATGTGTTTGCTGACACTTTCTGGATATGTGAGAAGTTTTTTCTCGTTTAGAAGTTTAGTTTGGAAATTAAAAGGGGATTTTTTGCAGCTCGGAGGATAGATTTGTCATGAAACTGCGCTGTCAACAATTTAGAGCATTGAAACAGTGACACTATGAAGCCTCTGCAGCATAACAACTGTCCCCAGCTGGACCCGGCTCTTCCCCTCTCTCCTGTTGCTTCACCCTCTGCAGCAGCGGCCTCTTGCTCATCACCACGCGGTTATTCCTCCACTAAATGTCTGACTCCAATATTTGAGTATTCAAATTGTTTTCCTCCATATCTTAAGTTTCTGCCATGTTCTTCCAACAAGTTCTCACCAGCTAATCTTGGACATGATTTTTTTTATTATTATGGCGCTGCACCTCTTCAGAGGCGACTCTCCGTAGGCAGGGAGAGAATCAAAATGTGGAAGCACAGGTTGTAGGCATCTGAAAGCTGTGCTAGGTGGACTTTTGCTGGTTCTTGAGCACGGAGCTTTCCCTGAAGGGAGTGAAACATAAAAGTGATACGCAGCTGATTGAAAATCTTAAATGTCAAAGTTAAAGATAATACAAACAAGCCAAATCAAGACGTGTCTCTATGCTGTGTAACTTGACCTAACTTAAGCTCATACACTGCTTATAAAGACTATAGATCATCAGTAGTTTTATGTCTTTGGACATTTTTGCTGCATCTTGCTTTTTTTGCTGATTTCAATTTGGAGCGTGGAGCCCCATCGAGACCTGAAGGCTATCCTCTGCTTAAATACAGTCTATATAAGACTGGTATCAAGAACAGAGACAGCCAGGCTTGTTGAGAAAATTACTGCACTGAATGTAAAGTATTTTGAAGCATTGCCCTATTTGAACAGTCCTGGCTGGAATCTGAAGTATGCCATGTAAGAAGAGGTACTAAAAAGTGACTGCAGCCATCGTTAATTTATGAGCTTTAGAGGTGTTGATGTTTATTTCCTTTTTTTCCCACTATATTCTTGGCAAATATTAGCAAGAAAGCTGACGCACATTTCCCAAAATGTTGAACCATCCCATCATACGTGCTGCTGCTTAATAATAAAAACACATTATGATTATCCTGTTTGACATCCTAGAACACCATACCGCTTAATGGCAGCTCCAGGGTCCGGGTCCTCATCAGCCTCAGAGTCCCCTTCGTTGGTCAGGATGATGGGGGAGAAGTGTGTGGCAGTGGAAGTGAAGGCCTCTGGGAGTTGGAGTTCCTTGTGGACTTGATAGCTGTGGGGAACAGGGCCAGGCACAGGAGCCAGTCGGCTCTCAGTGGCCATGGGCACAAAGCCTACACACGGTTACAACAACGCCAGTTACAATATCAGTGATATTGTCTCATGCAGTGATCATCAGCACCTTGCACAGAATGTGTTGAATATTAGAAAAATCTGCAGGTTCAGACTCTGAATGTTACATTTCAATAAGGCGACTGTCACAGTTTTTTGATGTCACAACTACTAATGCTCCTCTTTTGTTTAGGGCATGTATGACATAACTGTACATGTTTACAGTAAACAGCTTTGCATGAGGGTCTTTCATAAAAAAAACATCGAGCTGTCCTACCGCTGTGGTTTTGTACACACTCTTCACATGAGCTTTGATGAGTTTCATTTTCATTCAGACCATCTGCGTCAGCGGGTTTCGAGGCTGGCTGAAGGGAAATACATTTAAATCATTACAACGACTGAGGGGAGAAACAGGACGCACATGAAGAGCATAACAGAAGACAAACAACAGTGACATAGAGGATTATATTATGTGCAATCCATAATCAAACAGGTTAAGAAAAATGTTTCAGTGTTATAAAAATGTAATCAACGTGTACCGGGTGGACTCTTCTGATGAGGTTGTTCCACACGGTCTCAGCATTTGTCCCTTGATGTGATAAGTAGTCACGACAGCTCTGGAACGGACCCACATGAGAACGAACGTCATTACTAACAACAATACAGGACGATTAATAACACACAATCGACAATAATGATCCAATAAACGCTGGCCTGAAATAACCGAAGTGTTCCATTAGAGAGCTAAGAGCTGCTTTTAAAAATGACTGACAGCCGAAGAGAAGAAGTTTGGTATTCTTATGGAGAGGGCTTCACTGACAAAACGACAACACTGGAGTCACCATATTTACCTTACGAGTGCTTCTCTTTCACTAAAAAAAGAAAGTCTATTTATAAAAGCTCCTCTCTGACATTGTAAAATCTGCACATTGATATGCAAATATCTCTTTAAAGAGACACAGACAAAGGAGAGCTTTTTAGAGAGCTTTACAAGGAATACAAGACCGATGGACTAAATAAATATCGTAACATGAAAAAAACGAAACCACCTAAAACCTTTATAGGGAAGAGGGCGTGCTAGAAACATGGGCACACATCAGTGAGTTCAAAGAACACACTTCACACTGAGCTCGTTCCAGTGTGAACTGGAGATTTGAATAAACTTGGAGCATACATATAAATCTACACTTTGGTGCCTCATGTGGAAATGTTCCTCCTTTTTTTTGTCATTTCTGATGTGAGAATGTTTTCTGCAAAATATCCTAAATCCACCTTTAATCCATGTTGTAAAGACAGATTTAAGATCATATAAATACTTTTTGAGCCATGACGATGGAGGGTCTCTCAATGGGCGTCCTCTTGGCCATCTCCAGCAGCAGTCTCTTCAGTTTGCGAGGCATTGCCAGCTTTTGATTGGGAGACAAACTGAACTTGGCTGTCGTCCAGAGGATAGCAGCGACTCCATACACACACACCTGAGACGAGACAGGGAGGAAGAGAAGAGAGCAGAGGCTACAACCAGGGCAAAATGAAGGGGAAAGTAAGATTTGTAAAAGTGAATTCAAGCAGTAAAGACGGGCTGACCTTCTCAGTCACTATCCCGTGCTCTTGATATTCAGGAGCGAGATAAAACTCATCTCTGGATCCTGCAGGGAACACTGAAGTCAACGAAAGCATCTTAGAACTGTTGCCTCAGCGTTTCTCACATTTATTCTGTCCGTATACATTGACATTTTTTTAAAAGTAAAGTAAACGTCGAGGCTTCAGCAGCACAGAGACTAAACAAGACTCAGGTTAACTTACCAACGTTTTTAGTTTTCAAGAAGAGTACTTCTCCCTCGCTGCCAACATGCACCGTGTCCAGGCATAAATAAGCTGACGGGGAAGAGAAAAGATAACTGCTTTGAACAATGATGGTTAAAAAACTGCAAGTAAAATAATATTTACTTATTTGCAATATCTTTTTTCATAATTTTCCAGATAAAAAGAGCTGGTTCTCAAATGACCACAAATTAAATCAACTTTGATAAACCCCCACTTTTTTAGTCGAGCCTGACCTATTCATCGACCAGCTGATAGCAGCGTATCCAGTGACCACTGGTATCAGCTCCTTTAATCGCAGTAATCTGCCGATATTACTACATGTATTCACCATTCAAATAGCCTTTAATTTGACTTTCATTGTATTACAATAGCAGTTGTCTTTCACCAGCAGAGGGCGCTATATGGATTACAACAAACATTATCACTCTCCAGAGTGTCGAGCGGTGATGCACATACATGCCCCGTTACTTTCCAGTTGAGAGATCATCTTGTCTTCATTATCGTTTTGATTAAGTGTTTGATAACTGCATTTGAGGGATCAACACAATAAATGTGTATATCTATATATTTATCTCTACAGATGGAACATAGATTTAAGAAAGAGATCTCATACCGATATATCGACCAATATAACGGTATCAGATTTTTTTCTCTCCGTAATATCGATATCTGTATCGTATTTTATGGCCCTAAAAAATTCAATATCGGTCGGGCCCTACTTTTTGGATATCAAGTAAGATATAAAGTTTTTGATATTAGGTACTCAAGCAATGGTTTTCAATCAATCAATCTTTTTTTTATAGCGCCAATTCATAACAAATTTTTATCTCAAGACACTTTACAAAAGAAGAGGTAAAATACCAACTCTTTGTTATATTATCTACACAGACGCAACATGAATCCATCATGAGCACTAAGCAACATTAAGCAAAGTTACAGTGGCAAGAAAAAACTGTCTTTAAGAGGAAGAAACCTCGAGCAGCACCAGACTCATGATGAACAGCCGTCTGCTGAGACTGGTGGGCTTGGACAAAAGGAAAGAGGGTGATGCAGGAAGAAGGAGAAGGAGTGAGACAAACAGAGCAACAACAAAGTTTTAACGTAAACGTAAAATGTACCTGGAAAGTCGATGTAGGTCTGCAGTGAGGACAGGCAGGTGTAACACAGAGCCCAGAGCTCATTGACGGTCAGCCTCCGTCCACACCGAGTCAGTAACTCTCTGAGAGAGATCCACTGGACATGGAATGAAAACAAATACAGTTTATAAGAAGGAGCTTCAGCTGATTTCTCTGCTTGCCTCCTTTACTCAAACTGAAGAAACACCTCACTCTACCTTCACTTCATTTTTGTATTTTCCACTGCCAACGATGATTTGTCTTGAGGGAGTGTCCTTTCATCCACCTTTACACTCTACCTCGTTGAGACTAAGTGCTCATGTTACATAACTCATCATCATACTACTCTTTTGAAGTTTCATGATGAGATATGCTAAAACATTTCAATAAGCAGGGAGCAGTTTTCGCCGTTGGCAGCAGCTATGGCTACAGGCATTTACTGTATGATTGTCTGTTCCCATTCTCGTGAACACAATATTTCTATTTGAATTTGGTACAAACTAGTCCTGCACAATATGAGGCAAAATATACAATGTAAGCTAACATAGTTCAATATTAACGGTATGAATTGGGATAAATAGAAAAAAAATAAAGAGTGCATATGAGCTGTCAAGCACAATGTTTATCTGCTATTCTTCATGTTTTACACAATATCAAAATATCCCCAGGCCTCCATCCAACAGGTAAAAAAGTGCACATGCTGAGTGAGAAAACACTGTTTGTCTTCATTAAAAATCTGTTTTTATATTTATTGAGAAGGCTCATATTGTGATAACAATAATTCATATACAAAGCCCTGCATAACCTGGTTCCCCCCTACCTGTTTGAGCTCCACCACTGGCACACTCCCACCCGCACCACCCTGCAGGGCTAGCCATCAGTCCTGGGGGGGACAGGGCCTTCTCCATTGTGGCTCCCACCCTCTGGAACTCACTCCCATAAAACATCAGAGACTCCCCCCTCACTCTCAACCTTCAAGAAATCCCTAAAAAACTCACCCCGTCATTAAGTCCTCAGTATCTCAGTATCCTCAGGTCTCAAGCGCTATAAAAGTATTTTTATTAAATTGCGACCCAGCCCTAGTACGCCGGTGAAAGCACCGGACATGACAGCCTCAAACAACTGATGAAAGAACTGCAGAGTCAGAGACATAAACTAACCTCGTCCTGAGTTTCTTCATTTAGGCACAGCATGCTTTTCGTCATGTGGTTGTTGGAAATGTAGAGGCTGTGGTTCAGGGAGCTCTCCCCTTTAGAGTCCTGCTCCTGCTCGAGGTCCTGACAGGAGGTACAGGGAGACTCTGTGTGCCGGAGGCAGTTATTACATTCACATCTGTGGTTCTCTTGGATTGTTGTGTCTTTACTGCAGAATGTCTCTGCAGTGTCCTCATTTCCTTGTGAAAATATTCTGTCAACAATCGAGTTCCCACAGTCCTCGTAGCTGCTGTGTGAGTACGCCTCGCAGGACTGTCCCCGCTCCAGTTTCTGAAGTCTGTCACTCCACACAGACCTGCAGCTCGGGTGTTCCTCCGCTCCTATCTCAGAGAGGTCGGACACAGGTACGCTGATATCTCCGTGTGCGGTCGGGGACAGACTTGGGGGGTTGTTGGAGTCTGGGACTGAGCAGGAGCGGTTCAGAGCCCCCCTCCCTCGGGCCAGCCTCTGCTGGGCTCTCCTCCTCACTGGGGAGCTGTTGTAGGACCTGCAGTCCAACTCGTCCGCCGTGATCAAACCGTCTCCTTCACTGCCGTCCATGTCCTCGGCCCAGAGAGAGGAATCCCAGCCCCCACACACCTGAAGGTTTTTAAATCAGAGTCACAGTTTGAGCTGTTCTCAGTGCAGAAATATTCTTAATCATACATTGATTAGAGTAAAAACTGAGGCCTGTGAGGTCAAACTGAAGGGGACATTGAGGAACATTTGCTACATGCTAATGAAACTAAAATTCAGAATGTGAGTGTCTTTTTTGGGTTTCTGTGCCTTTTATTGAACTGGTATCAGAACTTTAAAAACAATATGGAGGTTAGGTGTGCCAGCTTAAGGTCTCAGAGTGTCAAAAAACACAAAGTGCAATTACGCCTCCCACTCATAGAGAATGGGCATTTGTAGAGAAGCAGAGGGCGGCGAGGAGAGGCCTCTACAGACACTATGAGAAATTCTTCTGTTAAACTCTGAAAAAAAGGTTTTATTACAGAGTATCCAAACATGCTTCCTGTTTCCTTAATGTGGAAATGCAGATAGTTTTAGTGTGTCTTACAATATAGATCACCAAAATTCACTCCTCCTAACTCTTCTAATTCAAATGGAGTGGGTAATGAATTACTATAAAGTTATTTTGTTCTGGTAGAAAATCCCCCCCTTTAACCTGCTCTTTGTAACATAACAATGAGTAAGGTCTTTTTACCTGCTCTTTTGTAATGTTAACAGACAAAGAGTAAGGTATTTTACCTGCTTTTTGTAAAGTGTCTCGAGATAACACTTGTTATGAGTTGACGCTATACAAAATAAATTGAATTGAATTGAATTGGTAAAGTTATTTGATCCGGGTTACAAATGGCCTCTGCTATAGTTTCGCACTATGGTAGCCTTTTTTGAAAAAGGCAGCACATCTGGACAGAACACCGGTAAAGGCGAGAATCACTCCCATGACTCCCAGCCTCGCAGTCGTCTTTTGTTATTATATTGATTGAGAGCCCCCTGGTGGCGGAGAGAGTGATTAAGGAGAAAATATGTGAAAATAGGCCGTATGATCATTTGGCTTTTAGGATTGAAACATTGATTCTACAGCGACCTGTCGGACAGCGCAGAGACAAAGCAAAGAGTAACCACCTGTTATCAAGCAACCTGTCACTCTTGTATCTTCTTCATTCGTAACCGCCTTCTTTCCAGAACTGAGTTAGGTTTAGGGATAGGTCAACATGATGTGCAAAAAGACCTTCTTTGTGAAGGTCATGGGTCTGCTGAAGTTATCTATGCCATGTCAGCAAAAACACGCCCGCCAGGTCTAAATGCAATCGTTTTTAACCATGAGGACAAGTGCCACAAAAACACTACCCTACCTGTATACAGTTTTTCTTACTGGTTTCTATATACTCTCTTCAAGTAATCATGACATTGTAGAAAAGTATTTACCCATCACGGTAAAATCCATCTGTATATAACTGGACTAATGACCTCTAAAGAAGATAATAGTTGACAGAGCACCCAGGGCTAATAGCTGAGCTACAACAGCTCCATTTTAACAAAGAAAAATACTTTTAGTAAACTTAAATGTATTCCTCATGTAGAGCTTCCAAAAAGGATTGTTTTTTCAGCTACTGTCACATACCTGCTTCCTGGACAGCCCGTTAGCTTTAGCAGAAGAATCCACACACAGCTCTTTGCTGTTCTCATCGGAGCTCAGTCTTTTAAGCAGACATCTGGGTTTGGGATGCTGCCATCGGGCCTCCCAGGAGCCTTCCTGTCCATCTGTGGACGTACAAAGAGAACGATTAGCACCAGTGGAAATCACAGCAGACACCAGACAGTGACAGGGAGTGTGAATTGAGTTGATGAAAGGACCTTGAAAGGTGGAAACTGATTCGATGGAGAGCACCCGTCGACCGACAGAAGACAGCTTTCTGCACACGGCTGCAGAGGAGGCAGGAGACAGCCGGGCTTCAGCCAGAGAGAGGATGTGCTGTGGGAGAGTTACACTGTCAGGTGTGTCAAATTCAGAATAAATTAAACAATTATGACCAAATCTGTCTGGTTTTAAGAAGAGGACACCACTCGAGGGAAGAGACAGAAGATGCTAAGCACAGTTTATTTCTGTTAAAGTCAGTTGGCATAGCATTGGAATTGTAAATGTTTCATTATTACAATAAAAACATGACCCCCCCCCCCCCCACACACACACACACACCCCCTCCCTTTAACCACCACTACCACTACCTCACATGTAGTCCTCCCCATGCTTTTGCACTACTGAGAAGTTACATTCTACACCACATGGCACAACTTCACCAACAAACAAGGTGCATGAAGAGAGAAAGACTGGAAGAGGTCAGAAAGCTCCAGCAACACTTCAAGTCTGAAGATCAACTTTATTAACAAATCAGACAGACACGTTTCAGCCTGGGGCCTTCATCAGGGTCATGGAAGACTCAAAGTTAATAAAGTTGATCTTCATACTACAAGTGTTGCTGGAGCCTTTTGACCTCTTTAAGTTTTAACAGGTATCGTGTGGAACTCACCCAAAGAAATGAACTCCATCGTTTTTAAAAAACAACCATACAATATAACGTAAAATGTAAAATAGAAACCTCCAACAATTTTTTAACTTTTCTGGTTTCTAGCTTTTACAAAAACCTTTCAACCTTAAATGTGGTGAAAATGCTGGGTTGTAGAATTTCTTTCTTTCTTTCTTTCTACAATTGTAGAATTTTTTGTTCTTCTTTTTATAATCATTTTGATTTTTATAATAATTACATTCATTATAAGATTTTATTGTTTTTATTTTGCCCTGTTTGACAGTGAATGGCACTCCCTGCACTGACAAAGAATCACCACTTGGTGGTAATAAAGAGCATAGACTCACAACATGCAGGGCCATGCAGCTCATCGCATGAGAGTGAAATAGATTTGAATAAACATTACAATAAACACTTGAACTCGTCTTGAAGGAACCGTGTGGCTCTTCATTTAAAATAATAATAATAATAATACATTTTATTTGAACATTTTTCAAAAATCTCAAAGTGCTACAAAGTTAAAAATAAAACCGGTTACATGAATAAAAAAGCATGGGACTAAAAACAGGAAGGCAGCTCAGGAAACTAAAAACACAAGCAAAAGGCTCTGTGGGTTTTAAGGTACTTTACTCCGAGCTGTCCCAGGGTTTGTTTCATCATCGTTAAAGGACGTTATCTGGGTTGACTACTCACATACTGCAGAAGAAAAACCATCTGGCTCCCTGGGTCATGATTACTAAAAAAAGTGCATTTACTAATTTATCTGTGACCATATGTCAACACTTTACCAGAATGTCTTATAGGTGTAACAGATTTTCTTCATGGGTGCCAGTCTTTTTTTAAAGTTATTTTGGGCCTTTTTGTCTTTAATGAATAGGACGGTAAATGTTTGGAGGACAGAGTTGAGGACAATATGCAGCAAAGGGCAAAGGTTGAATTCGAACCCACGGCTGCTGAGACGAGAACTACAGCCACTGTACATGAGGCCTGCAACATAACAACTAGGCTATCGTCTAAGGTGCCAGTCTTTTTGAGTTTCCTTCTTTCTTCTGTTGTTTTGCATTTAATCACTAATCAGCATTTGAAATGAAAAAAACCTGATTTAACACCTGTGATGACAGACTGACAACACAATGCTGAAGTGAGATCTCTAATTATTCCACACCTGCCTCATCGTGTTTACTTCTCTAAATCATTTCAGCGGTAACCAGGGTTCATTCTATACCTGCAGGAGAGGCCTGTCCTCAGGTGTCTCCTCCTGCATCTGCTCCAGCAGCTTCTGGATTTCTTCCCCCAGATCTGCCTCCAGCTCTGGCTCGATGACAAAGTTCAGTGCTGCAGAGAGCGTAGAGCCCAGAGAGTAAACATGGCCCTGCAACGAGAGGATAAAGAAGAGAAATCATAAGCATCATCAGGAGCAAGCTGCAGATGTGAGTTTATAGAACGTTCAGAGATCTAAATCAGGGAATGATGACAGAAAAGGCTAACAGGACACAGAATCCCATGACCATGTGGGGCAGTAATTGTCACTTACTGAACATTTTTATGACAAAGCTTTTGTTTTTTGTTGCTGCCCTGACAGTGGATATTATGGTCAGCCTTAAGGCCGCTGTGGATTTAAATCAGGTGCCTCTGAGCTCACATCTCAGACCTAACCATCACTCCCAACAACTGAAGTGGACGGTACCCATACTTATGTGGTGAACACATGTGCAAGGCGGATCCCAGTGTGGGTCACCAAAATAGACAAGCAAACATGCAGCTGAAGGCCTAAAATCCTGTTTTGTTCTTGCTGTTGCGCTGGCCGTGTGTGAAATCTCCCCAGAGAAAAAAAAAACAGCTGAGAAAAAGCACCAGAGAAGTAAAAGGGAAGAGTTTTGGTTCCCTTTTCTGTGATTTATGTATTTTGACACAAAGCAAAATCAAAATGCATGGTTTATTTTTAAACTTCAGTTACATAAGTGTACTGCAAATTTATTCATGTTGTGGTGAGAGCAGAGTGAGCTTCACATTTCAGTTTGTGTTTCTGCAGAAGAAGCCAAAAGTTGTTTTCATGCATCTGCTGCGTCGCTTTGTTCTGTTTTACAGCAAGACTTCAGACTGCCCCTATAGCACAGAAGACACCGTTATGAGGTGAATTATCGAAAGGTTAAGGAGCTCCACTCAGTTATTAAACCCACCAGGAATAACGCTCCCATCACACATGAAGCAGCAGGGATCATTCTGCACAGCTACACTATTATTTTGCCTCACTATGTTTACAACTAGATGTTAACCTGTATGTCATAATGTGCTAACAGGTGACCATTAAGGATCATATAGGTGTGGTCATCATCCCTGAACACTACTTAGCTCAGATGACAGAGCAGTGATTTGTCAATGATTTAATTTTGTTGATGTTTTAATTTTTGCAAACATCCATTAAAAGAAGAATGTGTGACATTTTACACATAAATACATCAGAGATCAAGTCTATCCTGTGTAAATGTGTCTCTGAGTCATGTCTGTCTACAATGAGTGAAAAGCTTGAGTCCCACTGGCTGTGTTGTTGTCAGAGCCGTTTTTGAATCAAGTTTACATGGACGGAACGGCCGGCTCCTCCCCTTTGGGTATAAAAGCTGTAAAAAAGAAGAACTCACTGCTTATTTGAATGTCACGTCTTTTTAGATCACGGTCATTCCGCGTAAATTTACATGTGAAGCTACGAGCTAACCAAAGAGCGCTAACATTAGCATGCTAACACCACAATGCAGCTCAAGACAAGAACAGTTTTGTCCGCCGCTTGTGCTTAGTGCTTAGTGCTTAATTATGATGTGTTCCAATTCAATAACTCTTTTAAAGCAGGAGTGGAGATTGGTTGGAGGTGTGTTGCTGGAGGAGAGCGGAGGCTTCAGTGTGGCGCCAGACTGATGGACGTTAACTACCAGAGTACTGTTTCAGCTGTGGAGCGCCTGTCAGTCATTCTCCACTGAGTGACAGATTTACTGTATCAGCAAGTCACACGTGGGCTGAAATCTGTCCTGCTGCAGTGATATGATTTACTCAAACTTTGCTATGATTAAGATTGCAATAAACCGGTTGAAGGGCTACATCAGCCTGCAGATTAATACAAAGTCAGATTTTCCCAAGGACAAGACAGAGGAAGTCTTTCTTACCAAACTTATTTCGGATCCCCATCCATCCATCCATCCATCTATGCTGTTCTGAGAATAGTCTTTATTCACAGAGCCTCACCAAGACAATACATTTAAATAAAATTGTACCAACATTTTTCCCCTAAATCTTAACGTTAAAAGAAACACTGCTATCACTTCTGCCTTTCTCTTTATTCCTCTTCCAGCGATGCTGCACAGTGTACCTGTTTTTTATATCTCAGTTGTTGCATTACAGTGATGGGAATTCAGTGTCAGAGTGGTCTGACAGTTAGGCTTCTTGTCCCCTGTGCAGTCATTGCACTGCAGATTGTGGTGTTTTTTTAAAGAGGCGGAATAAGCGAGTTGTATTGCTCATTGCATGCAGCGCAGTATTTGTGGACTTTTTGTAGATTATTTGATTTGAAGATTAGTTGTTCTACAAAATCCATCCATCCATTATCTTTTACCTATTTTCCCATTCAGGGTTCATGATTGGGGGGTGATGGAGCCCTTCCAAGCTGTCATTAAGCGAGAGGCAGGGTACACCCTGGACTGTTCACCAGCCAATCACAGGGCTGACACATAGAGAGGCAGACAACCAGCCACACTCACATTCACACCTACGGGCAATTAAGAGTCATCAATTGGCCTAACAAGCATGTGTTTGGATTGTGGGAGGAGACCGGAGTACCCACAGGGTAACATGCAAACTCCACACAGAGAGGCTATTTTCTGACGGGGATTGGAACCAGGAACCATCTTTTTTTTAAAATGTGCTGCAGATGGAGGGTGCAAGAAGCTGAAGCCTGTGCAGAGTTTTCATCTGTGGTTGATCATGTTTATTTAATTGTGGGTATACTGTTTAACTATGTGGCTCAAGGTTGGGATAAAATACTAGCATGACCCATAATTCACCGTTAAGTCACTACCTTACTTCTTTGTAATGTCTCTTCTATATTCCTCAGAACCAGCTGGAGGTGACCGAGGTGAGAACCACAGCTGAATGATTGATGACTTTAAGGTGAGGACGGAGGAGCAGCAGCACCTTCTTCTCCCTCATCAAACACCAGCAAGATACCCCTGTGACTGTGTGGTGTAGCAGGAAAACTCCCCAGGGGGTGACAACTCTGTGTGTGTAACCTTGACCGGATCTAAACCTATAAGAAGGCCGCCTCACCTCGAACGTGCTGCCTGTGCTGTCGAACTCCGGCGGTACAAAGGAGCCTTCTGGATCATCTGCAGGAGGGAAACACAACAATTACCTGCACCATTAGGCTCGTCTGAAACACACACACAGTCATCAAAAGGAGACAAACGATGCATTTCCTGTTCGATGTGAACCCTCTGATGTATAGCCATGTCAGATTTGTACCATAACATACACATAATGAGATGCAAAGCGGAGCGATGTGTATCCAGCATACTAAAACACAACAGTCTAGTGTATCCAGCACTTCCTGTTTCCTTTCATCTTCATTATTCATGTGTCAGAGTGAGATAGTCCCCGATAAACAGGACAGGAGCTATCTGAAGAAGGAGCAGTGCTGCACCCTCATCCTCCTCACCATGAAATACGCTACTGATTAGACTGCAAGGCAAGACCCACAGAAACATGAAAACACCACCAACCTGCTGGACTGTGGATACAGGAGGAAGAGAGAGGGACTGAGCGAGAGAGAGAGAGAGAGAGAGAGAGAGAGAGAGAGAAGTTGGAGCCAAAGTTGGAGGAGAAACAGGAGAGAAGAAAGGGAGGAAAGTGGGTCATGACAGATCTGGGTTTGTCTGGCTGCTCAGTTGTATGATGTCCCCTCCCAGGTGGAGTGAGGCCAATCTCCATCTCCTCTCCTCTTCATTTTATCTTTCTCTATACCTTTTTCTACCTTCATTTCTGTTCCCTACATTTTCTTCTATCTCCTCACCATGAAATTAATCAAATTGGCCTTATTAGTCAAATCCACTGTTCTTTATGTTTTTGCCTTTCTCAACACTTTGTGACACATTATGGAAAATACACTTAAACCATGTTTTCTCTAACACTAATATGTGTCCCTACTCCGTCTACAAATCCCCCAATGATGAGAAAAGTCCATCCTCTCCATCTTTTCCCTGCTCCACTTTTCAGAAAATGTGAGCTCAAACAGGCCGTTTGGAGGTTTTCCCTTCATGACATCACAAAGTGCAGTAACACCTCCCCCAGGTGGGTGACACTCCCCACAGCTAGGTGTTTGTTCTGCCCTCTGAGTCTGCCTTCTCATCGTAAACAATAGGACATGGAGCGAGAAAGCCCGAGACACCCAAGCCCTTCCAGAGAGGGGGCGTGGTCAGACACAGCTAATTTACATATTTAAAGGTATAGACACAGAAACAGCCTGTTCTGAGCAGGGCTGAAATAGAGGGGTTTATAGGCATGATCAAATACAGGATCAGAGTGGATTTAGAACAAGAAACTTCACAGACATTTTTTGGGGAGCTCTGAGACTTACTAACACTGGTTGATAAGGAGGAGAATATGTGACCTTTAATGTATCCTCTCTTTCTGCTCCCTTGCTTTCTCTTCTTCTTCTCTTTTTTCAGATCTTCCCGCTATTTTGCATTTACATCTCCTCTATTTTTTCACTTGCTTTCCTTACTATAGTCCATTCCTTTGACTGAGACTGGCAGCTCAAACAAAAAGAGGGAGAGAAGGACAGAGCGGAGCAGAGAGGGAGGACAGGACATTTGAACCCTTTGGTGACTGACAGAGAAATGGGCAGAGAAGAAGATAAAAAAGAGACAGCAGCCGTTGTCAATGACGCAGTTGCCCTGGGAGTCATGGTGAGAGCTTGGTGAGTCATGTATGCCCACAGCATTTTAGCACAACAGGTAGTAAGAGCTGAGCAATATTTCACTGATTCAACACACTCCCCAAACGAGCAGATCAGACGTCCCACAGAGCACCTCTCGGCGCTAAACCAGGTGGGAAACATTTGCCTTTTTTTTGGTCATCATTGGGTGAAAACTAACACAGGACACTTCGCTGCTACGGATGTTTGATGCCAGTGCAGCCACATGACCCGCAGTCACATACAAAAGCACTCCTGCTGTTACTGGACTCATTAATTATCTGGAATGAAGTGTATTGATGAGTCATTGTAACATCAGACCGTCATCTCCACAGACCTCAAGGTCACTCTATAATAACACAGCCTTCACGGGAGGGACTGTTAGCGTGTGTGTGTGAGCACGCCGCTGGTTGCTCAATTTTATTCACCAGCTTGAAATTTCATCATAATCACACAAAAGCTCAATTAAAAGGAATCAATGTGGAAGTGTACGGCGGGCAAAGTGCACAGCTTGTTATGATTAATGATCGTCTCACTGTGTTCAGCAGGAACGACCAAACAAAAGAGGGGTAATGTGGGCACTGCAGATTCCAACTCCCTCCACGGGATGAATCAAAGATGAAGGAGTGAACGCAATCCAATAAAGCATGACGACAAATGAGGCTGCAAAGGATTTGAGCTCACAGAGTCATCAAACAACTCTTTAAAGTGTCTCGATAACCGACAGAAGATTGGTGTGGAGATAAATGGATATAACACTTTAAAAGGATAACATGCTGGCTTTGTACGACAACAACGCCCCCTGGCAACTCTCACTCTGTTGATCTAATCAATAGTGATCAATTTCTAACGCTTGGCATCAGAGCACGGAAAAAAAGTGTGCGCCACTGTGTGTGTACGCACATATGCACAAGGATGAGAAAAAGTACGATATATAAAGGGGAAGAAAAGGGAAACAGAGGAAAGGACAACAAAGGGAGGGCTTATGAGGGAGAAAAATGATAACCTTGCAGTTCAGATTCGACCTGCAGACCTCAGCAGAGGCTGACAGATCCAGTGAGAGTTTAATTGAGTCCTTTCAAGCAGGAATTTGCAAATTAAAGTGATACAAATCAGGGCAACAAAATGGAAAATGTGCCTTCTTTCCGAGTCAAACAGCTTAAACCGCAGTAAAGGGACAACCACATCAAAACTCTGCAATGCAGTTCTGAACTGTCTTCATAAAAGTAAAAAAGGTAAATATTGTGCCAAAAGTGCAAATCAAGGAGTTTAAAATGTTCATGAAGTGGTTTAATTATTGAACAAATATAAAACATGAATGTGTCTTTGCAGAAGACTCACCACTGAGCTGCTCCATGAAGCAAACGTTCCCATGGGCGTTGAAGGCCAGAGTGTCGGGTGTGATGCACAGGGTGTGAAAGAGGTGGGACGGTCTGATGCTCTGCAGTGCTACAACACACTCTGCACACACCGCCCACACCTCGTCCTCAGACAGACAGCTGTCCCGCAGAGAGAGGATGTCTGCCAGGGACACGTTCTCCTGCAGACACGCAAAAAGATAAGCACACACGTAAGTCCAGGTAAGCACATACACACATTTATCTTTGCAGGCTGGGGTGGCCGCTGTACTGAAGACTCACTGCGTAGAGAATAACATGTATTTAATTTCAGGCAACAAAGAACAAAAGTTAGAGTATTCCAGTGTAAGATGAAGCATTACTTTCTGATGAGCTAATCATAATTTCTGAGTTATTTGGCTTTTGGGGGAGGGGACTTTCTGGTTTGAACAAAGGTGTGGCCAAAGGCTGAGGACACTCTTGTGCTGCAGGCAGATCATTGGAGCAGACCAAGTGCTCCATTGTCATGGGGGGATTTGGATTCTTTGTTGTTTTGGTTTGTATTTAGTTTAACTTGGAGTCCATTTTGTTAAACCTTTGTGTTTAATTTGCTTTGGCCGAACCACTATATAATGTTGCATTCATGTGATGTCGGACACATCGGAAAAACAAGTTTCCGAGTTGTTAAATGCACATGAACACATGCTCAAGTCGGAACAACAAATCGGAAACTTGGAAAGAATTAGGTGCCCGACTTGACGTCAGGATCGTCATCAAATGGGGGGCAAAATATGTTTTGTTTTTGTTATTAAATCACGTATAGCACATCAACGTTTCGCTCAAATATAACTTTGAACAGTTACATTTCACTTATCCTCTTCGATGCATCAAACTTTTTTTTGTTCTTTTGTTACAACATTACGCTTTCCAAAACTGAAATCACTTAAGTCAGAAGAACAACTTCCCAACTCGATAACTTGGACCACCCGAGCAGCACCTGAATGCTGCATAAATTCCCTTTTGTCTCGTTGGGACAAACACAAGAAAGTGTGGTCCATCTGGATAACCAGAGGTGGAATGGTCATTGTTGGATGTCTAAACACCAGAGAGTTTGTAGCTTTGGAGATGGTTATAGCGTTGTATCCTGTTTCCCACTTCAATCAGAGGTAAGGAAGAGGGGTGGTGAGTGTCACTGTCTACAAAGGCAGAGTCAATCCTCAACATTTAAGGAGAAGATGAGATTATGGGAAGGGGAGCAGGAGGGCACAACATTGGTGTGCTTTTCACATCACAGGGATGTGAAAAGAGAGGATAAAAATGGTGCTGGATTCAGCCAGAAGGTTTTTGGACACAATGGACATTACCAGAGAGGGACTTGGCAACACAGAGAGGACTTGTTCAGACCCAGGGAACTGGGTGCACTGTGAAGCAACTCAGAAGGTGGCAGTAATGCAACACACATGGATGCCAAAAGCCATCAAACACCACAGAAGAAGAAGAAGATTACATTCACTTTTCTTATAGGGTCTAGTTCTTGGAATATGGTTTGTTCATTTGGTTTTCTTTGTTCGGGAGAAAAAACAAAAACGTTTTCTGTAAAGTTTCTCCTGTGTCTCATGCCTGACTGCTTGGTCTCTAACAGAGGGGAAGATTATTTGGCATTCTTTAGTTTGAAAGCCTTCAAAACACGGCTTGCTCTTGCTCTTTATTTCCCCTGAATTTGCTAATACCCATATTTCAACAAAAGATCCAGAATATTTTCAACACAGACTTCACTTCTGGACTTGTAAATGTTTCCTTACAACTCCAACCATTTGTTTCCTCATGAAATTTAAACTCAGATGATTTAAGACCTTCACTGTAGTAGCTACTCCCAACAACATTTACTGCTTAATACTGGATACATGCTCAGATATTCTACCCAGTTGGAATTGGTTTCCTATTCTTTTATATGAAAACATTTAAGTTTCTTTCAAGGCTGCAAAATCACAACACAACAAACACCCTCTTTTCACATCCTTTATGCAGCTAGCTGAGCCAAAACTGCACAACTAGCACCAACACTCTGATTTAACGCAGTACAACTTGTGGACGTCACCCTGTCTCTGTTTGGATCTAACAGTAACATCATCTGTCAAATTCAGAGCAGCACGACAGAAACAGTGAAGAGAGAAAGATGAATGTTTATTTCGGATTTATTCATTATTTTAGCCGAGTGTTTAAGAACGCCCGTATAAGGGATACATCTGTCCAACAGCTGTCAGCTGATTGGCGTTTGAGAGCCCTGTATTCCAGCTCTCCACACAGTCCTGTTAATCACTCTGCTGTACTGCTCTTAGTGCTCTATGCTGTTTCTGCACTCATGTGTCACAAACTGAGATCAGTAGTTAGTTATTAAAAGGCAACGTGTGCACTTTTTGAGCTTTTGTTCTGCTTTTGAGAAGATTTTCTATTAATATTTTTTTTGTCTTGTGGAAGCACAAAGTGGGTTTCTGGCACGACTTCACCTTCTGCCAAGGTCTAAAGCCACATGACCATACGCCCAGTCCATCTGTGTAGACCCACCGTTTACTGTAATCTCTGTGGAAGATCATGAGTAAACGTGTGTACACTTTTAGCATCCCTTTTGTCGTTACCCTTTTTTTCCCTGCCGAGTGTGACCTCAAAGAGCGCGACATAAAGAAAGCTGCAGTATGCTGCATTGGCTGCTGTGATAAAAACGTGGATACATCAGCTTGTTGGTAGACATATTCTCTTCGTCAGGTCTGTTTCTTTTTTTTGTTTTGACTACGGTCAACCCGCCAGCCTCGACGTCATCTTCTGTTGTTGTCTTGATTGAGCCTCCTGGCTGCTGAGTTTACATTCTGTGTGTTTAAATGTGATAGAGCCATTAAAGACAGGACTATTATACTTGGGGAATGACCTGCCTGAGACAACGGGCTACTCAAGCTGAAAACTCCTCCTCATCCTTCAAATCACTTTACAAAATGCTTTCTGGTGATGCTTCCCTCCACTGGTCTCTTTGTATTTTGTACGGCCTGCTTGTTTGAATCTTCTTGTTCTGTAAAATACATTTTGTTTTTTGTTCGTGTGAGCAATCTTTTGTAAAAGGCACAGTGAGTGAGTGTGCTTAGATTACAGTCTGAAACATTTGTGCATGAGGCACACACATAGTACACAGTTCTGCAAGCGGTGACGCACTCTTCCACTGCTCAGATTGTGAATCTCCCTGAGGCAAATAGTGATTTTGAGCTGAGCAAATCATGACTTGCCTTGACTCTAGAGGAGGCAGTATTGTGTCAATAAAAGCAATAAAATGCTCCGGCTAAGTCAGAGTAGAAGGACACTGGTCACAAGAAAATGTGGATGTACACTCTTTACGAGTGACTTATGAAAACGTTTACCCATTATAGACGCTTGTCATAGATATTATAACGTACATTTAAGGTAAAAACAATTTAGTTTTGATCATGGGAAAACTCCACAGTTCATTTTAACCTCTCTTAAAAAGGAGCCATTCAGCTACTTTTACAGTTTGTGAACAATGACATGCTCCGTTGCGTTTGCTGCTGCTGCTACACTGAATCACAGCGTGTTATGTAATGCAGATCTCCTCCCTGGAGTTCATCTGCATAATGTAGTTCCTTTAGAGTTCAGGTAATCCCTTCCCCAAAACACACGAACTGAATGGTGCTGGACAAGTTCTTTGAGAGAGGTCACCAACTCGAGCTTGTTAGGGATAAAGTGAGTTGGGAATACAATTGATGTTGTAAATATTCTGGTTTATAATGTCATCTCACACTGTTCAAGGGGAATGTTTACAATGCACAACTTTAACTTTGTGCTCATACTGTACAGTCCTATTGCCGGGCACCACCTGAGTGCTAACACTGTTAGTGTTAAATCAGGATGGAGAAAAAAATATATCCCAGAGGGCTGAATCAGGCTAATATCTTTAGCTGGTGCTTAAGTATTTGTAACTTTGAATATTTCCTTTTCCTTGATAATAATTTACACATTTAAATGGCTTGATGCCCTACTGGATTAGTATACTTCAGAAATTCACAGCACCTTGTGGCTGTGTCAGTGTCAGTGCATACCTGCTGGTTCAAGACTTTTGGATTAAACCAACTCCATAGACAGAGGGGGTTTCCTTGTTGACGTATGATATATTGCATAAAAATGTTTTCTGACTTTCTTTATTTATAGCTTCTATTGTAAACCTTGAGGGGTTTTATGGGTAAACATATTGTTTGCGCTAAAATCTGAAATAACTAAAGGCATTTTTCTTTCTGTGGAGGACAGTGTCCAATACATAGACTGTAAAAATAAAAAGGTCCTTTTTATTGTGTGGCCATGTTTAGTTGTAACACATTTCCATTTTAAGAGTCAATAAATGAGGATTTCAACATTTTACATACCAGACAACATGTCCAGCTGCTGTTTGTCTTCTTAATTCTGGCGCCATAGCAACAAGAGTTTGAAAAGAAAAGTCCTAACCTTGTCCTCATTGTGACAACATAAAGGAGAATCTTCACACTCTCTCTGACTTCAGCCAGCCTGCTCATTTAAGCTTATAGATTGAAGGTGTTGGGAGTACTTTTGAGTCTGTTGTTCGTGTTAAACCATTTTCATAAGGTTTTCAGAGCATTTCCAGATTATCTTATTCTGTTTTTGATTGACTTCAGTTGAATATCCATGGAGTTCATTGAAGGAAGTAGAGGCGTCTACAGACCAACCCAGGTGTTGTTCGACACTCCCATTGCAGATCTGCTGGGACATCCAGTCCAATAAAATCAAGATCGCAATGGTGGCTGAATCTTTACATCTTCAGCAGAAGAAAAAGCACCCAGCCGAGGTTACCATTGAAGACCTGACTTGACCTGCTGGTGAGGGAGAGTGAGACGTCTCTAGAACTGCAGCTCTGGGAGTTTGAGTTGGAGGAGTTTGATGATGTGGACATCACGTCTCTTCTCAAGCTGGTGTGGGAGTTGGACACCAGCTTTTAGATGAGAGATGTTGAGTTTGAAGCGAGAAGATTCCTCGCCTCACCAGAGAAGATGCCATCCTTGTTTTCACATCCTAGGATCATCAGCCAGTTGCATGAGTATTGAAGGATCCTGGCAGAACAGCAACATGAGGTTCCCTTTTCCAAACAGTTGGGCCCACAACAGGTGGTGATGCATTTGGTTCCTAAAGTCCTGCAAGACTTATGGGTCCTTCCAAAAAAAAAACACCTCCAGGGAAATGCCCTCCCTTATCTGTACATTATTTTGTAAGCAATTCAGCATAACAGGTAATTCTACTCATTGTTGAGCCATGTTTTCATTGCAGGACTTTTACAGGTAACATGAATCTCAACACTGCATATAATCACTACTCTAACTAAAGTAAATCATCCGGATATAAATCACACCGGTGTATAAGACGCACCATGTTTTGAAAGTATCTCAAAGAGAAAAAAAAGTTTAAACTGTCGTCCTGCGTGACGATTCATATATTGTGTTCAGTCACGTCAACAAGGAGCAGTTTCTGTGCAGCTCTGTCGCTCTTTTAGTTCCGTCTGTTTTCACGTTCGGGAGTTTGCGCTCCTATAGTTACAGTACGGTAGTTGAGCTCTCAGCCTGAAAGTTGTTGTGAAGCAGAGACCTCTAGCTTACAAGCTCGCTGCCCGACTCCGCTGGTCACTCTTTAACTTTAATATTGGACTCTTTCAATCAAAAGAGCACTCCACAAGGTTTATTTACGTTTTGTGTAAATGCAGGATTATGACCTCATGAGGAAGAAAAGGTGTGAAAAAGTTGCACAGACTGGTCTGTGTCGCCGTCTTTCCCAGCACAGCTTGCAATACGCTTTCAATACACAATGAATGGGGAGGAATTATTTAATCGCATCTGGTCATGCACATGCTTCTGCAGCCGCGGTAATGAACGTGCATGTGTCAGCTTTTTATACTGGTGTATTGGTCGCACCGGTGTTTAAGACACAGCCAACTTTAAGACGAAAAAATAGGTATTAAAAGTGCGTCTTATACACCGGATTTTATGGTACTTAAAACAGTCTACAACTTAATATTTCTCAACAGAATAGCCTCATTAACCTCTGGGTTTATCTGCCATTCATTTAGCTGATCGGGCTGTGATCTGCACTCGTGCCCCACTGTACACTTTTCACAATGTGTTTGGGTTGTTTGTCTACTCCAGCTAATGTTAGCATTGCTAGCACCACATGCCTGTGCTAAATGTGGTTACACATTGCTCTGGTTGATATGCCAGTTTAACCTGCCACAGTCTACATATATTTTTATCTCAATTTTCTAGATCAAAATACTGGTTAACCACGCTGCTCCTAGGAGATGCTCTCTGTTCACTTTGCTTGTTTACATCTCGATAGTAGAGCCAGAAAATGAGGCCCATTAGCCGGAGCTGCAGCCATTTGCCAGCATTGAGGCCCAACATAAAAAGCGTTGAACCCACAAGTCATTCTGTCGACCAGAAAGGGACAACATTTAATCATTTGGTAAACTACACAAGCTTATTGGCAATTTGGGTACCATGATGCCTCTAATCAAATATGGCCATTCCAAAATCAAGTGTGCCATGACCATGAGGTTATCGTTTTCTTTTTCCAACATTGCATATAGAGGCCTTACCCCCCCTTGTAGGTGGACAGACTCCATCTGGCATTAACAGGAAATGCCAGATTACGAGTCCAAAACTGAACACAGCTTCCAGATTTTTCTCTCTTTTTTTGTGAGAACATTTTATCTACTGATTGCAGGAAAGCACTGATAACAAAAATGCACGTTAACCAAATGTCCTCCTAGCCTTCCGAGAACAACTGATGTAGCGCTAACATCATATAATCGAGCCAAAAGCAAATAGCTGTGGTAATGTTTCTCCATTCACAGATGACAGCTTGTATCACTGATAGCAAAGTTTCCTGTTATATAAAAGTGTGATGTTCCTTCTCAGAAACTGTTACATTAATTAGAAATTCATGTGATTACATAACACCTAAAACTGCGTCCTAATTTTTCAAACTATAACAGCAGAAGACCCTGAATCTTTTCTTCAGTTACAAGGGCGTTTGGCACACACACACACACACACACACACACACACACACTGGCTTTTCATGCCAAAGACTAACTCTTTTACACCCACATGAACACACGTCATCTGTGATCCACAATAACCAAATGGCCCCATTTCTCCTGGCAGTGATCTCACAGTTTCCACGCAGCATGGAGCATAAAGCTGCAGTCAGATTGTTACAGGAGCTTCCGTTGGCGAGAAAGTGAACACAAAAGCTGTCCTTCACGCAGAGAGAGGGATGGTAGAAGGAGGAGAGGAGATTAACAAAGCAGCAACTGTCCAGTACTTCCATTACCATCAGATTTTTCCCCCCTTCGTTACATTATTAATACCCCAGAGGGTTGCCTCTCAGTCTCATGGGAGCTGACTTTTTTTTACTCTTTTATAAATTTGAATGAATGACATCTCTCAGTAACTTTTCAATCGTCTCATTATCCCTGAGTGACTGCAGGAGACGTGACTGTCTGTGTCTCTTCATGACTCTCCTGTAGGTGCAGGAGATTGTGAACAATGCAGATCTATTGGATGTATAGTGGAGTGGAGCACAATTACAGGGCAGGGAAGTGCCACTTCAAACAGCAACAGCAACAGCAACAGCAGCAGCGTCCCCATAAATAGAGAGTTTCCCCTGAGAACAGTGCAGAGGGAAGCTGGAAGTATCTCTCACCCCCCCCCCCTCCCTCAAGTGAAATGTGGTGTCCTACATAAGTTTGAGCTCTAAGTTTGTGATGAGACTGTTGGTGTCCCGGCACTATGTGAGAGGGAGACACGGTGAGAGAGTCAGCGGTTAATCAACCTCAGAAACCATTCCACAATCACCCTGAGTGACATGACACACTTCAGAGAAGACAGAGTTAATGCTGGCTGATCAGTCATCTTTTCAGTTTATGTTGCATCTCAGTCGTCTCTCAGCTTTTTGCATTTGAACCTTTTGCTCTTTTACTTAGGGCGTGGATAAAAGTCAAACTAACCAATTCTACACCAACATATCCAAATTCAATGGTTTGACACCTAACTGGTCTTCACAACTAAACTGCACAACTATTTTAAAAGCAGCTTTCTAACTGCTGAGGGGATTATTAAGATATATTTAAAATATGTTCCATACACTCAAGAATAGTATCCAATCATAATTAAAGCAAGAAGTAATTTGTCACATGTGGGTACCTAAGGGTCAAACAAAAAACATGTTAATCTGAGGAGGAGTGAAGCTTTTTGATGGTGATAAAAATACTAAAAAGATCTATTCAGATGCTGATAATTTACTTTTTATATCATGCAATCATCGATAAAGTTATGGCTTGTTTCACTGTTGATCAAATAAGGGAGTACTTCATAGTTGTAGCTCTAGTACAAGTCAAACAGTCTTACAGTCGAAGTTCAGAAGAAATCCTCATCTGACTTCAAATCTGTGCAGTCTGCAGAAATATGGTGCAGTTTTCCTCAGTGCTCTATTTATGAAAACAATGTGATCTCAAAATCCTGAACTCTGAGGAGACATGCAAGAAGAACATTGCAAACATAGGCTTCACGGTGTTGTCCTTATTCCTGATCAGACATGTTTATTTTAATACACGCTAACAATAACAAACGATGAATGTAACTTCATGTCTCACCTCGTCCTCCAGCAGTGGGGGAAGATGCTCCAGATCAAAGAAGCCATCCCTCTCCTCAGCTCTCCCAAACATAGTGAACGCAGCTTCACTCCCCGGAGTCTCCATTGCACCAACTTTCACTCCTCAAGTAGCTAAGGAGCGAAATTCAGCCCAAATTGTTATGGTTCCAGTCCATATAGATGGCATGCCCGAGCTGTGTGGGTTTCCCCCCCCCCCGGTGCAGACTTGCTGCAGTCCGGCTGTAAATCGATGCAGAAAATCAACCCCAAAATCAGGGGAAGGAGAAGCACAGCGACGCGCCTGGATCGGGGAGGAGGTGGATGCTGGCCGGTGTATGATGAGTCTGTCATGATCATACACCTCCACAGAAACAGGCGACACCCTGAAGGCGATCACGAGCCGAAGCTATCCTCCGCCTCCTCCTCCACTTCCTGCTCCTCCTCCTCCCCCCCCCCCGCGGAGGAGCCGGTGTTGGCAGAGAGGAGCACAATGATGCTGCCTGCATGCTACAGTTGGCTCCACGCCTCCGTCCACAGTGTGACTCATTATTCATCACTTAGGTCTACTCCTCCTGATTATGATGATCTCTCTATGAAGGCTATTTGTGTGAGCCGCCGTCCACTGGCTCGTTAGGCTATAATTGACTGTGTGATTATTCACATCATCAACTATTTTGAACCAGTGGTGGCATGTTTCTAATTATAATCACTCAGGTAGGCTACCTTGATACTCTCTATTCACTATACATTTGCAGAATCTGTAAACTTTTTGATTGAAGTCAGTTTGATATTCGCTATTAACTTAAATAGTTCAGAGTCTTGGGGATATGTAAGATAGAAATCATATTAAGTGAGACATTTCTACAGTTCTGATCAACATTAAATTGTCAAAGATGAGCAGGTCATGAAATGTACTGAGCTTGTCCAGTGTTAGTGTCGCCATATGCACAGTTAGGGACCGTCTCTAAAGTGCAACACAGCCTTTTAGGGTTAGACTAGGGTTAGGGGTTAGGGTTAGCTTTCACCAGAGTGAATCTTACTCAAGACACATTTTGCAACTGTAAGTTAAAACAAAATGTCATAAGTAAATGGTTATCAATTATGAGGGATGAAAGTAACACACATTTAAATGATAACAGCAGAAGCAATGAAAACTGTTTTGCTCTGAAAAATTATGAATTATAAACAGATTTTTTTAGGTCAGTTTGATAAAAAATGCATATGATTTGATAAAAACGGAGACTCATTTAAATTGTCTTCCATTCATCAGTTATAATTCAAAACAAAAAACAGTTTATTCATCATGTTAGGAAAGAGACCTCGAGGGTGGATGTAACAGAAACTTGTGATAAAACATGGAGGTGAAAAGAGAAGGATGTGAATTGACAAAATGAAGCAGTGAAAATGTGTTTGAATTGGAAATAAAAGTGATGAATTGCTAAGTGATTAGATAATCACCGCTCATTACATCATCAACAACCAGCTGTTTGTTTCTAGAAAGTCCCTTTAAAACCCCTGAACTCCACTCATCAGGGACATCATACATTAAGTAGGCCATGAATATTTCCTAACTGTGATTTCAAAAGCTCGATGATGAATGAGAAGATTGACTCCAAACTGCTTCTGACGTCTTTGACACACAGCTGGTAGTTTCTGAGAAAACCCCTGAACTGAAATATCAGTGACCTTTTGCCTTAAAGGAAGAATGTGTGATTTTTGATCCAGTAGATGTCGCCCTTGAGCTCCAGCATGAAACCAAAACAAACTGCTGTTTGGCCACACCTCCATACTGAAGCCTCCGCTCTCCTCCAGAGACACACCTCCACCCCCTCTCCACTCGCGTTAACACAAAGGAGTTTTCAATTAGAACGCACCATAATTAAGCACCATTAGAGGCGTACAAAATTGTCCTTTGCTCGAGCTGAGCTGCCTGTGTCCTGCATTGTTGTGTTAGCAGGCTAATGTTAGCGCTCTTTAGTTAGCTCGTAGCTTCATATTGCACATAAATTGACACAGAATGAGCGTGATCTAAACACATTTACATGACATTCAAATAATCAGCGAGTACAGTATGTGATTATTTTTTTCTCTAGTCCTTGACTAAAACAGCTTTATAACCAAGGTCGTCCCGTCCATGTAAACATGATGTAAACACGGCTCTGACAACAACACTGCCAGCGGGACTCAAGCTTCTCTCTCATTGTAGACATTCATGAGAGGCATTTACACAGGATATAGCCCATTTGATTTCTGCTATATTTATGAGTAAAATGTTGCACATTCTTCCTTTAAATATGCGTATTTCCAAACTGATTCCACTAGCTTGCTCATTCATGAATATATTGACTCCAAACATGTGCTTTTTGTGTCTTGTACATCCTCTCACATTTGTGTTTCTGGAGAAACCCCTTATTAACTATTCTCTTTATTCTCAGTCACCTATTATTGCCTTAAGTGTATATCCAGGTAAGATATCTAAGCTTTCTCTTTAATCACTTCACTGACTTCAAACTGCGTCTAATATTCATTTGACATTCTCTCTTGATTTTCACAGCTGTTGGTTTTTGAAAGAAATCCTAAACAAATGGATCTGCAGGCAGGCGAGCTAATCTCCTAGACTCTTTTACTTTGGAGCCATGCTGTTGTAATATGATTTGGAATTATCTTGCTGAAATAACTAAGGCTTTGCCTGGAGAAGATGTTGTTTATTTGACAGCTTGTGATGCTCCAAAACCTGCATGTGGCTCATCATTAATGGAGCCTTCACAAATGTTCAGGTTACCTACGCCATGTGCACTAATGAACCTCCATACCATCACCGATGCTGTCTTTTGAGCTGAGAGGTTGGTCCCTCTCCTCTTGAGGTTGCCGCCAAGATTTCCAAACAGAATTTAAAATTTTGACTCGTCAAGCCGCAGGGCATTTTCCACTTCGCTTCAGTACATCGTAAATTAGCTCAGAACCAGACCCAGGAGGAAGGCTGCAATCCTGGATCTGGTATATATACCGTTCCCTCTTTGCCTGGTGAAGTTCCTACTTGCATTTGTGGATGCACTGTGTTTACAGCCGATGATGGATTTTGGAAGTGCAGTCCACTACATGTCTGTTTTTAATCAATTCAATCAATCAATACATTTTTATTTGTATAGCGTCAACTCATAACAAGTGTTATCTCGAGACACTTCACAAAAAGCAGGTAATATACCTTGTTCTGTCAGGCCGCCAACCAATGAGCTAGAGGAGCCTAAGAGAGCTCAAGAGCTCCCAGGAAAGTAGGTGGTTAGTGACTGAGATTTACAGATAGATACATGCAGTAATATGATGTACTGTATATGCACAGAGAGAGAGAGAGGAGCTCAAGGTGCCAGTTCCATGCAGTTATCATCCATCCATTATCTTTACTGCTTTACCCGTTTGGGTTTGCAGGTAGCGGGTGGCCTGGAGCTGATCCCAGCTGTCATTGGGCGAGAGGTGGGGTACATCATGGACAGCTCCCCAGTCAATCACAGGGCTGACATATAGAGACAGACAACCAGACACACTTTGGACTGTGGGAGGAAGCCGGAGGGAACCCACACATGTATGGGGAGAACATGCAAACACCACACAGAGAGGACCTGTCCAACAGGGATTCCAACTAGGAACCTCCCAGCTGTTAGGCTAACCCCTGCACACAGCCCCATATTATCATTATTATTACGTTCATTATCAACACAGGAGTCAGAGAGTTTCTTTGGATACCCTTTCCAACCTCTTGTAAAATCTTGAATACTTGTGAACTGCCCAGTTTATTTGAAAATCTTCTTCTGCTGTTGCCTTAGTGATTCAAAGACTGTCTGGGTGCCCGCTGAGGCCGGGTTGTCATGGGATGAGATTGTTATTCTGCCGACGCTGCCCTGTGGCTGCTGAGCGCTGATAGAGAGGCGTCTCCGACCAGACAGAGGAGAACGTCTGTTAGATTTGTTGACTGCTTAGCTTTCTGGCATGCAGAGATAATGGGGGGAGGGAGGGATACTTTTACTGCAGCAGCCGGGCAATTAATGTGATCACACACACTCTGGCATATCCCCTCAATGACTTATTAGTGGAGAACAAGGCGGTCTGTTTGATCCTTGTTGGCATTGTAAAGTGGCCAACTGAGAGATACATTCAGAGGAATTTCATCTTCAGAAGGATTAGCTCCGAATGCTGAATACTGCACAGCTGAATCATTTACAACGAGGCAGCACCCGCAGGCGGTGAAGCTTCACATTAGAATCTAAAGTAGTCAGACGGTGATACGACTAAGCAGTTTGGTTTATCCTAATATTAAGATTCAAACATGCTTTTTAAACCGTCCCTGAATTTAGCATCACTTTTTAGCATGATTGATAGAATGAAAGAAGTCAGGGATCCCTTTGCTCTTTTCATTTGTTAAATCAAAACACCAGACACTTTTTAAATGATGAGAAAATAACATTTGCATTTTTTTCCATGAAAACTTTGATGAAATCTTGCACTGTATGCCACACCATGTGAGGATATTAGGAGGCCGCCCTGGGTGTCCTCTTTGCCCCCCTCCCAGCCTACACTTCAAATCGTCAAGTAACATATTTTATCATGGACCTCATACAAAGGATGCATAACATTTCAGTGTCAGCAAGCTATTTTTGTAAGATAGACAGTAAGACAGTAGATTGAGTCAGAAATCGGGGGGGGGGGATGACATGTTGCAAAGGAGACACAGGTCAGATTTGAACCCAGGCTGCCCGCTTAGAGGACTGTAGCCTCTGCTCATGAAAACTGTTGATATGGTCTCGCCATCCGTTAAACCAGTGATTCTCAACTGGTATAGCCTCGGGTCCGACCACCAACTCCATCATGAAAAATTGCAACAGAAATTCTTGATATGTTTCAAACAATACGATGAATTAAATTGTTAATAATTGTTAAAAGTTTGGACCTCACACAGTAAAAATCTTGTGACAGAAAAGAGAAACAGAACAAAACAAACATGTTTAAAAAGCTCTTTCAGACTTTTTTGACACTTTTTTGGTTTTAATGCACACCCTCATGACCCGCTGAAAACAGCTCTCTGACCCATTTTTGGGTCCGACCCACCAGATGAGAACCACTTCAACAAACAACTTGATGGTGAGTAAATACTTGTCTTTAATGCCAAATTCTAACTGTTTATAATATAGGTTGTATTGCAGCATAACATCCTGTTGGGTTAGATTCTGTTCACTGATTTGTTTTCATCATGTCCTTCTTAAAGCTGTTTTCAATCTGGCTCTCCTAAAAAATATATCCAAAATTTCAGTCACACTACCCGTGAAATCTTCATAAGTTGGTTGGTCCCTCTCAGCGGGAGACTACTCCTCTTGGGCGAGAAGTGTGTGTGTGTGTGTGTGTGTGTGTGT